GCTGAGGATGCCAAAGATCTCCTTGATCTCGTCCGGCACCAATTCCGTCCCGCCGCACGGGCTGAGCCACCAGGAGAAGGCACCCTCGGGGTCTTCCTCCTCGGGGTACAGGTATGCGGCCATCTGCGCTGCCGTGGTGGCCATGTCGAGTCCAGCGTCTAGAATCTTGCCCACGCCCGGGATCAGGCTTGCGCCCACGTCTAGCACCAGCTTCAGTGACGACATGAGGATATAGCAGCTAATCTGGGCGATGATGGGCATAGCCTCCAGCACCGTGTCCGCGATCTCATTGATCAGGTAGTTGTCGCAAGAGCAGGTGCCGGGCGCGACATAGTACGACGTGCCCGGGTACTTGTCCCAGGGGATGCCGTTGGGATAGTCCTTGGTTGCGAAGAAGCCGATGCAACCGTAGTTGGAGGTTCGACCCTCCTCCTTGGCCTCGTCGAGCTGTGACTTGCAGTAAGAGTAGCACTGGAACTGGGCCTCGTCCCTCAGTTTGGGATTCTGGTAGATGAGGCACCTGTTGGCGTTGGCGAGCCGCGCTTCGGTGTAGTTGAAGTAGTTTGGGTTCTCGGGGCTCCAGCCGACCTCGATGACGCCGCCGTCCTCGTCCTCGTCGACCACCGCCGTCGTGCACACCTCGGACGGGCAGTAGCCGTGCGAGCAGGCGAAGCGGCACAGCCGGTTCAGGTCGACGTCGGTGTCGTCCCAGGCGATGATGTCTCCCTGAACCGGGTTCTCCGCTGGAATTGGCAGCATTTCGCCCCTCGTGACGCATATACACAGCGAATCCGGGCACAAGCCGAGGGAACAAGTAAACTCGCACAGGTCGCCCGAGTTTGTAGACCTGTCCTCGCCCGACACGCAGCCCTCGTCGCCCGTGTCGCCGCCGCGGTCCAGCGGAACCTTCATGTCATCGTCGCCGAACGTCTGCAGATCGACGGCCCAGTCAATGCTCCCGCCAAAGTTCAGCGTCTTCCAGTCATCGCGCCGCGTCAGCTTCGTCGCGGGCGTCATGTAGCTGACGTAGTCGCCCTTGTACAGCATGACGTCCGTATTGGAGTCACCGTCATGGAACATCTGCGAGTACGACCCCTGCGTGATGATCTCGTTGATCTCAGCAAAGGAGATATATCCCTTGGTTGCTGTACATCGACCAGGGTTCGCGTCTGACTCTATGCGTGTCCCTGTGAAATCGCACAGGGGGCCCCAACAGCCATCCACGGCCATGCGGAACGAGCGGCCGTAGCTGGCCTCGCCGACCATGATCTTGTTATTCGCGACGCCTGCCTTGGTGATGATGGACAGTGTATTGCGCGTCTCAGTCAAGTTAACGTGGCTACGGATACACTTGCCGGACGGGCACGAGTCGAAGGCGTTGGGGTTGCCATAGTCCCACTGGCCGTGCAGGTCGTATGTCATGTACACGATATAGTCGATGACGGCCGACATGCGGTCGATGGGAAAGGCTTTGAGATACCAGTAGGACGCAGGAGCCGCGATGGAAACCGACTTTTCGGTGCCCAGCTTCTGCTTCAGCGAAGTCAGGAACCGCAGGTACGCCACACCGTCCCCGGCCTGCCCGATGGGCTGCCCGTCGACCATGATGTCGGGGGCGCCCGGGTATTCCCAGTCGATATCGATGCCATCGATTCCCTCGTCCTTGGCGAACTGGGCGAGATTTGTGGTAAAAGTCTCGCGGTTGTCGATGATGGCACGGCGGATGATGTTGTACGTGGCCGGCTCGGTTGAGTAGGCCCAGCCGCCGAACGACACGATGCGTTTAAGGTCCAGCTTCTTGAAGGCGTCCCACTGACCGTGCGGGTCGGTGATGACAGGCTTCCACGTGTTTGGGTCGATCTCGGCGAAACCCCAATGCATGTGGGTATAAGTGCCGTCGGTGTTGGCCTTCTCGGCACGCAGCCAGAGGCAGTCGCGGTTCATGTTCCACGACTCATAGTAGCCGACGCGGGAGAAGCTGGCCGGCGGGCCCGAGTTCTGCTTGATCTCGTTGCCGCAGTTGGAGATACACGTGCTCTGGAAGCCGGGCAGCTTGGTGCCGGGCCCGCCGCCCTCGGGCGCGTGTATGTCACAGTGCTCAGGGAACGGCCCGCAGAAGCCCCAGTTGCTACAGCAAGCCTTGAGAGGACACGGGTTTAGGTCCGCTATGGACGTGCCGTCAGTCGGCTGTAGGGTCCCCGGCACCAGCGGCCCGCACGCCGCCCCCTCCTGCGGTGGCGGCAAAGGCGCGTTGCCGGAGCTCAGACACATGTTGTAGCTTATCAGCATGTCCTTGCACTCGGTCCACGCCCACGTCTTGCCCTTGTTGAAGCCTTCGATCTCGTCCACTGTCAGGCCGTACTGAAGGGCCAGGGATTGGCACGTGTCGCCAGAGGCGATGAGATGTGTGGCACACGTCCCGTCATCGCCCGGAACGGGTTTCCATCCCCCTGAGTCGCCGGCCGAGCAGCAGACGTACTGGTTCGGCTGTAGGGCGTTTGGGTTTGCGCAGTCTATCTTTGGGTTGTACGTCGTGAACTGGGAGCCCCTGATGCCGCACCTAGACGCGAGCGTTGTGCATGTGTCGCCGGACTGCACCTGGATGTAGGAGCAAAAGGCACGCGAGTGTAGCTTCTTGTGAGGCAGCTGCACCGTCGTGCTTCTCCTGCGCCGCGTGGCCAGTGTGCCGTTGCCAAACAATGTTCCGTTGTTGCTCAGAGTATCGTTGAGCCCGTTCGCACTTATAACGTCCAAGACGGCCACCCCCTTGAGCTCACCCGACGGCACAAGGTTGGCATCGGCGGCGCACTTCCCGGCGTGCCAGTCTGCAGCCGTCTGCTGGACGGCGGCGAGGTTGCCCATGTTATCCACGGCGATACCAAACACGCCTGATGGCTCGTCGCTCTCGCAGAGCTGCGTGACCAAGCGGTTGGGCACACGGCCGTCAGCCTGCAGGCGTCCGGCCAGAGCATCGATGGCCGGACCGACGGTGCCCTTGCCCAGGCCGGAGCCGATGTAGATGCCCGCGACGGTCTGCTTGTAGTAGCCGAATAGGAACTTCTCGTCACAGTTATCAGTCGCGTTGAAGTAGGCGCCCATGGCCTCAAGCAGACGCTTCACATCGCCCACGTTACTGGCCCCGTCGCCATCGGCACTGCTGGTGCTCGCAATCGGTAGAGTCTTGATGACCTGCTCGCCTGGAACCATGCACGCTGGGGCCTGGTCCAGAGAAGACTGGAACAGGGTGTCGGACTTCTTCGGGTTCCCCATGCTGGCAGCCGTCTCGTTGGCCACCTTGGCGGCCTCGGTCGTTGCAAAAGTCGAGTTGATGTTGCCCGGCGACGTGATGGGCTCCCCGCCGTCGGCGCCGCCGAATGTGCAGCCACGGATGAGCACGGTGGTGGCCGGATCATCCAGCGGCTGCGTGGGCGAGAACTGTAGCAGCATGGGCTGCTGGCATCGCCGGAGCCGGTCGACTGAGAAGTAGGTGACCCAAGTGTGCACATTCTCAAGGTGGGCACAAGGAAGCGGGCAGTCGTGCTGGTCCGGCTGGTATGTCTTGATGTCGCCGATGGGAGAGGGGTCGTCTTCGCCCACGGGTTCGACGACCTGGTTGCCGTCAAGGTTGACGGCACATTGCACGAGGCTTGCCCCTAGAACGAGGGAAGCCGTGATGTATCTCCTCATTGTTTACGCCGGCCACCGAGTAGGTATGTAATGAGCGGCACCGACTGCAGTCACTGTGTCACTAGAAAGGACAACGGACAGGAGGTTGAAGACATGGACTCTAGCAATGTTCAGGAGACTCAGCGACACTACACTGCTTTGTAGCTCGTTCAGGACCGTCGTCCATGGCTCCGTCTTCTCCTTTGCCTGCACCTCTACTCCGTACCTAAGGTAGGTATCATTATCAAGCTTCCCTTGTATGGCGCGTCCACACTTACAGGGCTGAGGATCCCACGGAGTCTACCGTCAAGCCAAGATATTTACGGATACCATGGAGCTCATGGACTCGAGCGAGTGTCCGGCCTCAGCTGCGTACCGGGTCTCTACTTTGAAGACGAGGACCTCTGTTCGGCACCCCATGTAAGCCTATTACAGTAAGTAGTATCGGGTAGCACCTGGCTGGAGAGCCCACCTCCGGGATCCGGCCACGTCGCGGAAGGACGCCCGCCTCTCCATCAGCCTGAGCCTACCTCTTCTCTCAAACAACATCTTGGCCCATTTCAACGTCTCAACCAAAACGACGCCATTTGGTTTGATGTTCTGGTCAGAAAAAGGTGCACCTCTCCAAAGCACTTAGTTCAGTGCTACAGGAGGTACCTTTTCTGTTCGGAAATCAAGTTATGAAGGATGCATTCTTGGTAGAAGAGGACGGTGTTTGGAGGAGAAAACTTACACCACCTGCAGCGGCAAGGTGCGTCGACGTTAAGCTTAACTCGCGACCCCACATGCGCCAATCACATAAAGCCCGCTATTTGCCGTAATAGGCTTAGATGGGTTATCTTACATCGATCGTCTCGAAGACATTCTAAAAGGTCTACTTTACACACCCATTTTGGCCCCTTCATGGAGTCAACCCTGTACTTCTCCTTTGCTGTATCACGATAATTCCCCGTCATTCTCAGTCTGTCGTTAATTCGCAGTCCAAGGCACAGGTAATTAACTGTGCGGCACAAAAATGTCAAGCTGACTGCAGTAAACTATCGAATAAATCACACAACACGGCACATCCCTTCGACCTGCTTGCCAAGCCTTCGGGAAGGCTGCCTGATGACCGTCATTTGAAAACCTGCAGCACTCGACTCAAGCTGAATCCTTCCGAGGCCTGTGTCTTGGCAAGAAACCTGGTGAGAACATCTCTCATGTACAGATACACATCTCTATCCAGACAGGACCTCCCTTGCAGATCTTTCTTATCATCCCCGTGGAGGTCTGCGCCTCATGAGAGTTTATGATGGGGTTGCAGCACTGAGTGATTTTGAAAGCTTTCGCTCTATCGGGCACCCTTCCCGGTCAGCCGACCACCAATGGCACGTTCATGGAGTCTAGATGAACTTAGCGCTGGAATTAGGTTGATCGGACCGGGGAAGAAAAAGGAGGATCGGGGGCCGAATCATCATCAGGATCGCCCCTGACAGTTGAAGTCACATCAAGAAACATCGCTTACCTAAGACAGGCGGCACAGCACAAAGCTCCTTACCCCCTCCTAGCCTGTCTACCGTCTTTCCACCCTCACTTTTCACTTCTTTCAACCAAGGTTCGCTCGACTCATGGTCAGCAAATACAACTTCATACAACTCCTTCTCTAGAACCCATCAAAGCCGAGGCTGTTCCAGGCAACGTTGCTAGGATCTTAGACCACAACGCAAAGACGAGATGCCGACCCTTGAACAAGTCGAGTATTCGGAGGAGGCCACCGTCGCCGCCGTGACCGACTTCTTTGCCTTCCTGACCAAGATGTACCTTCCCGAGTCAGCTGTCGTTCACCCGCCGCCAGGAGGGTGGCCGACGTTGGCCTCTGATCTACAAGAGCTGGGGAAGTCGGACGAGGTGCTGAGCCTGCTTTCGCACCTGCCGTACGTCCGCCAAGATGATCTCGACGACAGCGAGATACCGCAAGTCACTCCTGGAGGCCGTTGGATAGACTGGCGCACGTACGGGACCTGGGTACGTGAGGGCGGCAGCGACATTGACGAGCTTCGCACCATCACCGAGGGCCCCGCCATCATGGACAACGTGCCCGAGCACGTCGTCGGGCTGACGATGAGCGAGCACCATGTCTTTTTGATTGACACGGAGCTTGGCGTCGTCTACTGGCCTGAGTGTCCCGGCCGGCTCCGCGACGGACCCCGGTGCATCGAGAACGACCCGTACGACTACTGCGACGACGAAGACGACGCAGAGTGGCGTGCCGACGGCGCTGCTTGGTCTGTCGCCGACTTCTTCAAGGTGCTCAAGGCCGAGTACCGCTTGCTGCGCTGGGTGCCGTGGAACGAGTACGAGGTTTTGGATTCGGAGAGCACGATGGCGAGGAATCCTGTTCCGGCGCTTCAGGAGGTTTTCAGACGTCACGGCTGGCCTCATTCGCCACAGTATCGCAAGGAGGAGTGCCTCGAGGAGACGAAGGCGGCCAAGGCTGCAACGGAACAGGGAGGGGATGAGGGGGGGGACGGCGCTTAGAGTTAATGTGAATAAGGTGTGTTCGCTTGCGTGGTAGGCATGCTTTGAAGGAGCCGATTCGTTACCGAGTTTGACCGTTTATACAGTACTTTGATAGGGGTCTACTGGGGAGTGATCCTGCGGGAAAATGACAAACGGCCAGGCCAAAAAGTTGCTACAGGGAGGTTGAGCTTATTAGTCTTACATGCTTGATTGTTGTCGCATTCTTAATTTGTTCCTGAATCCTGGGGCGCAACGTCGGGTAGTACTCGCGGTCTTGGCGAACTGGTTCAGAATTCCGCCCCCAGCCGGCACAGCAGGAGGCAAATCAAACCAACCAAACAGACTTGTGTTCTACATGGCTAATTTCCTTTGATCTCAGGCTGGTCGCCAACAGGCCCATCTACTTGTATAGATATACCTATGGCTGCGGTTGACAAAGACGCGAGGCTGTTGGACTCCTCTTCCCTTGTCTTGAGCCTTCGCTCTTCATTTCTACCATCTTACTCCTCCTCCATCACTCGGCCATACCACCATCAGATTTCTTCAGCAATCACCTCATCATACCAAACCAGACTCCAGTCTCAAACCTAGCGATGAAGCCGGCCGTCCTCGCCATCCTAGGCGCCTCCGCGGCAGCCGCTTCGGACTCCACCATCACCCTCGTGGCCCGACAGGCGACGACCGGGCCCTCATCCGCCTCCATGTCTTCGCCGCCCTTGACGTCGATGGAGCCCTCACTGACGCCGACAACGACGTACCGCGACCCGTGGCAGTGCGCAACGCAGAACCTCTCGCAGTACTTTGACGTGCCCAAGCCCTCGGGCACGCTGAGCGCCGCCATAGAAGGCTACATCGACGAGCTCGTAGAGCCCTGCTTCGAGACCGCCACGGGCGCCGACCTCTTCAACTGCCGCGTCACCGAGTCGTCGCAGCTCTGCGGCTTCACCACCTACGCGTCCGCGACGGCGAACCCCGCCCTGATCACGGCTTTTGCGTCGTACGAGAGCGCCGCCGCCTCGTTTTGGCGCAGCAACAGCGAGAGCGTGAGCTCGCTTTCGGTCGAGTGCGCGTCGGCCTGGGACCACTTTGGCGAGCTCAACCACGCCTGGTTGAATCAGACTATCGCCTACGCCAGCTGCGTGCTGAAGGATTTGCCTCCCGTCAGCAGCACAACCGGTTCGTCGTCTTCGGGGTCCGGATCGGCTACCGCCCCTGGCACGGGGGTCACGGGGGCGACGAGCAGCGTGACGAACACGGCTGGGTTGGCGAAGAAGACGGATTTGTGGATGCTTGCTGGCACTGGCGTCATTGTAGGGGCTGCTAATGCCTTTGCGTGAGAGGTGGACGGTTCAAATGTTAGATGTGGTTGAGATCACTACGTGTTGTGTCTTTTGCTGAAAAAGGCACCTGTTGTAACTTAGGTGTATATTGTACAAGGACACGTATCACGAGAACAGTGCTCTCGGAAACCAATAATTAGTCTCAAATATCGTGATCTGTGTAAATTGTTGACTCATAGCTTACACTGTAATTCCATTCCCGCGATGACCACAATGAGTTTAGTCGACCATGAAAGCGACAACGAAACAGATGGAGACCATCATATCGCGGTTCACTGTACTCGCTAGTGAACCATAGGGTGAATTCACATGGTACATCATCATAATATTGCTTCCGGCTGTTACTTCTAGGTTGGTCCTATGATCCTTCCCACCGTATAGAGTAAAAACGCCGAGGTCCAGCGGCTTAGCGAGAGACTTGTTCCTGGCCAGGGACGCCCAACCCCGCAGGGCCGCATGGCACTTTTGCTTGGCAGTACCTGTACTTCTGCTTTCCCATGTGCTGCAGCCTGCTTATTCTCAGCCTTTCCGGATCTGGATCTTTTGAACAAGTTTTGGATCTTTGGTATCGTCCGAAAGTTAATAATAAGGGTCCTCGCTTGGATGGTTGGCACAATGACACCCTCCATGTCAGCTCGCTCCGGGGATGTCAGTGGCAAAGGATTTTCTGCTGTGCATCTGTGCCTCTGAAGGGGCAAAAAACAACCAAGCATTTAGACGATGCTACATCTGGTAGCAATATTGGACCAGCTGACACTCTGCAGCTGTTAATTCGGGGTCTTGCAGACGAAGTGTAAGCGATGTAGTTGAAACCTCGGGACATGAATAGCTTCATAGTCCATACCAATATTGCCAAGACAGAAGGATTCTGAAGGAATGAACATTGAAATTGGAATCATGGGAGTGATTGCAAGATGCCGGGACTACCAGGCCGGCAACTGAATCAGATGTGAGGTCCTTATCCGCAGTGCCCTATTGAGGAAGTTGGAAAAGTCCGTGGCGTTAGTGTGTTCTAACTCAGATCATCAAGCAGACTGAACGACTAGTAGTACCAGGAACGGTGTCTGCCTAATACTATGTAAGCGTCCGGTCCCGTATCCGTCTCCCCCGGCCGAAAGGAGATTGTACCGGTGCGGCGTGGTTCCCTGGTAGGCAATGGATAATGCCATGAAAGGTGACATATATACCTGCACTCTGGATCGTCATGTATCGTCTGGTGGATAACGAGATTGTCGATCCGATAGCAGGAGTCCATCATCCCAAACACGCAAGACAAACGGCATCGGTGTCACCGCTATCAAGCAGACAAGAACCAAGCAATACAGCACCATGCTGCCTTCCTTGTTGCCCTCACTCCTGCTCGCCGGCAGCCTCGTCGACGTGGCGCTCGCCGGCGTGGCTCATCATCGCCGCGATGGCTCATCCCCTTCGTTGACATACGATCCCAACACCACCACGTACTGCACCTGGTGGGTTGACCTGACCGCGGCCAAGACCTGCAGCGCCCTGCTGAGCGAGAACGCCATCGACATGGTCTCGTTCCGAAGATGGGTGAGACAGACACTCATGTTTTTTTGCCCCGGTCGTGAAAGACATTCCGGCTTACAAGAACTCTCGCTCCAGAACCCATCCATCACGGACACGTGCGTCCTGCAGACGGGCCACTCGTACTGCGTCGAGGCCTTCTTCGAGCCGCCGGTCAGCAGCACAGCCGTGCCGACCACGACGTCCACCAGCAAGACGACGACTACTACAACGTCGACAGCCTCGACGTCCACCGGCAACGGCGTGTCCACGCCGCTGCCGACGCAGGCGCAGATCGTCACCAACTGCAACAAATTCTACTATGTCCAGTCAGGCGAATCGTGCTCCAGCGTAGCCACCGCCAACGGCATCACCCTAGCCCAGTTCCTGGAATGGAACCCGTCCGCGGGCAGCACCTGCGCGGGACTCTGGGCCAACGCCTACGCCTGCGTAGGCATCATCGGCGGCGCCACCGCCACGGCCACGAGCCCGCCCACGACGACAACCACCACGAGCACGGGCAACGGCATCGCCACGCCGACGCCGACGCAGCCCAACATGGTCGGCAACTGCGACAGCTTCTACTTTGTCGCCTCGGGCGACACGTGCGCCTCCATCACGAGCAAGTCCGGCATCTCGCTGTCGCAGTTCGTGGAGTGGAATCCCAGCGTGGGCAACTCGTGCAGCGGGCTCTGGCTGAATGCGTACGTGTGCATCTCCATCGTCGGGCACACGCCGACGACTCCGACGCCGACGCCGATCCAGGATGGGATGACGAAGAGCTGTAAGACGTTCCACTTTGTGGTGTCGGGGAATACGTGCGCGACTATTGCTTCACAGTACGGGATTAGCGTTGCGCAGTTTACGACTTGGAACCCGGCTGTTGGGTCGTCGTGTACTGGTTTGTGGGCCAATACCTATGCCTGCGTGGCTGTGTTGTAGTAATTGGATTGAAGAACGAGTTTTGTATGTGGTGTGGTGTATCTTGTTATTAGGGAATTCCTTAGTACATACATACTTTAAAAAGTAAATCTTAATGTTGCTTACTTTACTGAACAAAACAATGCGTTCGTTGGCGACCTTGAAATAAGCTTACTTTGGTGGTATGGGTAAGGTAAGGTGAGGTGAGCATCCCAGGTATTATATTATGGGTCTGACCCACGTCAATGGAGCAGGGAGGGGATGAGGAGGGGGACACGGCGCTTAGAGTTGATACGAATACTCCGTAAGCCATGTTCGTTTACGTGCTTGGCATGCTTTGTAGTCTTGGTATTCTTGGTAAGAGGTGCAACCCGAGTCTATTTTGGCCGGGTTTGACTGTTTAGTTGTACAGTACTTTGGCGGAAATTTTGACAAACGGTCGTTGGCTGATTTCAGAGGTGTTTGCCGTGAACGATAGCTCAATGACATGCGGTTGATGGCGCTACAGTTCTCCAACACCACAAAAACTATCATAATAAATCTATCCGCAAACACTGACGTGACAAGAAACTGTTAAAGTTCGTACAAATGAGCTCATTCGGGATCAGAGAAGCGGCATGATAGGATCAGTACGTGAACGAGGTCACTCTCGGATATAAATTGCTTTGCCAAAGTTTATTCCGGTGACTTATTGTATGACTACAAAATTTCGGCACAGCGGCCCCTTTCCCCCCGTAAACGCATTAACATAGGATAATTCTAATGAGTGGATTCAGGGACGAAAAGAAAAATCAGCCCTAGTTGTCGGGAGCATCGCTCAAGCTGAGGTAGCTCGCTGTATCGAGGGTACCCTGCATCAGCACCAAGGCAAAGCAATTACCAACCCGGCCACCAGTGACAGTATACATGAGATCAAGACTCTTGAGGGTCTCGATCCCCGCAACTGGGTCGCGAACCAAGAAAAGCTTCGAGGATTGTCCATCAACATAGTCGCAAACTGCAGGATAGAAATACTCGCCAATAGGGTCAACAGCAACGAAGTAGTAGTCTTCAGGTCCAGGCCCGCCGTAGTAAGGGGCCCACGCGACAACGACACTATCAATAGGGCCCTCTAATTCGGGTTCGACGCATACCCCGAAAAAGCCGAGCTTCGTCATGGTGTTGCCACAGTAGTGCATCAGTCGTTGGGCTCCGTCGTAGATGAGGGCGTCATCTTGAGTAGCCCACAGCTCCGAGCAGAGGTCATTGTCTGGTCCACCGATGAGGACTGCGTACAAGTTGCCGCTGCTGCAAGAAACGATCATGGTAGAACCGTCGGGGTCAACACAAGAAGAGAATACTCGTATCCGTTGGTATCATTGTAAGCCACGTTTGGAAGGGACTGAAGCTCATAAGAGATGGTGGAGGAGCCGCCCTTGTAGTTGTCTGTGATGTCAACAATCGGGCCCGTTGGCTCAGAAGTTTGTCGATATCCAACATCGCGCTTGATACCGGAGGGTAATCTAAAAGTGTCAGCCAAAGGAATCTGGTTCAGCGGCAAAAACAGTGGAGGGAGCAACTTACTGGATACACCCCCGAGCCAGTGGACGATCTTCGGTATCCAACAAGGGTATCTGCTTCGAACCCAAGATTTCGACGTAGAGTCTGTTGCGCCAGCTAAGTTGTGTGCTGATGCCGGTACAGCCATTCGTCTCGGTAAAGCCGGCCGTGAAGCCCCCCCCCCCGTCTTTGAAAGACCGATCGAAGCTGCAACTTGAGCAACACCCTTGATTGACGGCTCGTCAATGATTCCTACTGTCTTATCCCATGACGCGATCTGAAGACCACACTTGATACCTATAGGCAGACCATGTGATGCGGAGAGCATCAGCTCACCGTCCGCTTCGAAAACCGGCTTGAAGTAGGGCTCCCAGCCACTCTTCTGGCTGTTGCCCGAGTTAACGAAGTCTATGAGCACATGAGCGTCCTGCAAGCCCATCTCAGCGCCCGCCAGGAGCTTGCCCTTGGCCGCTGCTTCGACTACAACGCGTGATCCGACGTTGATACGTGGCCCGATGCTAACAACACCGTAAGACAACCCAGGTAAAGCAACGTTAATCAAATTGGTGTAGAACTCCTGCTTGTACGAAATCTGGGCATCAATACCTATCTTCAGAACAAACTTGATATCCGTCCTGATGTCGACTTCGCCCTCGAGAAACCCGCCAATAGGTGTGTCCAACGGGCTCGGCCAGCGATTTTGGCGTTACCAGACGCACCGCATCCGACGCAGAAAATGTTCATGTGAGCGTTGACCTTTTTGTCAGGGTCATCCCCCTGAGAGCCTAGCGCTTTCAGAAGGATTGAATCGCCCCACGGAGACTGGACCTGCTTAGTCTTGGGATCGCTGAGCGTTTTGTCGTCAGGGTTAGATAGATGACTTGGGATTGGGGAGGTGCCACGAGATTTCTTTGTTGATGGAACCTCCAAGAGAGATAGCTTGTTGCGTGGCTTTGTAAACTGTCTTGAGGGGCTCCAAGATTTTGCCTTTGAAGAAGGACCCGAACGATCGCCCATGGAGGTGCCGGCGTCGTTTCCAGAAGGGGTCCTCTGGGTCGATATCATGCTCGAACTCCTCTGGAATAGACTCCTGAATGAACTGAGGGGCAATCTGTTGAACGAATCTAAGACTCTCTGCGCTCAATCGGGCGTAACTTAGGTCCTCGTCGAGATCCTGATCGAAATAAGCACCAAGACACGCTGTTGGAAGGCCGTACTTGGTGTCTGGAGAAGTGTCGCAATCTCTAGGCGCCTGGAACTCGGTGGAATTCACTGCAAAAGAGCTGTTTGAGAGTGGATTGCCAGGAGCCCCGGGCATGCCTGTTGGTACCGGCACAGATGAAGGTGATCCAGGTATACCAGCTGTTATAGGCACAAGTGAAGGCGATCCAGGTATGCCAGATGCGCCCAATCCTCCAGGAGAGGTGAATCCGGCATCAGGTGTACACAGTACTGCCAGAGGTGGTGGTTGGTGCGGACCCCCATGTGAATGTTGATCCAGAGGCTGACGAAGGTTGTGGGTGGTGCCCTCGAGGAGACCAATGGCCCTATTCAGTCTCGCCAGAAGTGATGAGATCGTCAGGATGACTAGGAGTCCCAGAGGCCGTTACAACAGAATCTCCGCCGTGAAACGTGATTGAAGATACGCGGAAGAAACAGCGGTCGCCCTTCTCGTAATCACCGCAACCTTTGACGAAGACGACCAAGATCAAGCCGTCATCAGTGTTCCAGGTATCCACGGCATTCTGATATCCGTCATAGCTGCCAAATGAGATAGTCAGATCCAACGAGTCGTACGTGACGACTGCCACATGGTCGCAGTGGTCCAGGTTTACCGATGGGGCAGTGAAGTGGTAGCTGACAAAGGCATAAGCTCCTGCCTTGCCCGGATCTGCTCTGCTGCGTGAGTTCGTCGGTTTCGTCAGGGATAAGATGGCCTATTCTACGTATCAACAACGCCGTAGTACATCTTGGAGCCCTCGCTGGGGGGGACGGGGATGATATTGGCCGCCGGCTTTGTGTCGCAAGTCCAATGGATATTTGGCGACAGGGTAGCGTGGGGCCCATCTTGAGCAAAGGTTGCTATTTGTTCTCCCATAAAACCAAACCTATTGGCCTGTTCCATAGGAGAAGGGCAAGGGGTAGGGATGACAGTCTTAGCAAAGGTACCATTTCTACCGGGTGCAAAGGAAGCTGGACATGCGCTCGTGGTGCCAGCTATAGCTACTAGCAGTGCAGCTCGCATTTTGAGTAACATAGTGGTGGGTATCGAGAAACTGAATGAGTGACTGAAGTAGCAGAAAGGATTAACGATGAAGCAGCGAGACCTTGTGAGGTGCAAAGGAGTGTAGTTAGTGTAGTAGCCAGCTTGACAGGAAGACATGCGATGTACTTTCTATTTATGCTGGAACTTTCTCTAATGCTTGAAGTCTGACAGGAGTGTTATGCTCATCATAATCTCAATAGAGGCGTTGTATAAGACCTCATCAAAAGCTAAATACCAGAGAGGATTTGTAATTCAAAAGCTGTTTCCTGAAGTCAAGACAAGAGATTCTTCCTTCATCTGAACCAGCCGCCGTCAGAATTCCGACGGCATGTAGGAGGCGCTTTTTAGCTGTGGTTACCATTGAAGCGAGCGGTTTTCACATTGCAAGGCTCGGGGATTTGACTACCTAAACGTCCCAAGGCGAACCACAAGTCAAAAGAGACACAGGGGCAAAGACGTTCAGTTGGAAATGGCTTCCCCATTCCGCAGGAAATTTGCCATTCGAACTGTATCCCACTTGGACCAGCTAATCAGACTAATCACATTGATCCCTTGCACGTAGCCAGCCACACACCCACAGTCAGTACTCATGCGGGCGGATGATAGGATCTCCTGGCTAGCTAATGAACGGGATACCGTCCGGATTCCAAAATCCTTTCGCAGCCCTCGGTTCAAAATAACTTCGATGACGGTTAAAGACACAGACCGACTCGCTTCTGCACGCGCTGGGCATATTCTCACCTTTCAAACTATAGTCTGAACGTTTATCACTGGCAAAAATGATAGAACTCATGATATCAACGACGGGTGATCTGCTCCGAACATGTAAATGCATCTATCCGACTGAGACAGCACCAACTGAAAATGCCTGAATAAAAAGCTTATTCAACTCAGCACGACTCACCTCAGCGTACGCCAAGCAGGCCGTTTGAACAAACGCATTCTTCGGTACACTAAAACAAGCTTAAACATTAGCTGGAGTTGCAATGTTGGAATGAAGAAGTCCCTTGCCATTCCTGCGAGGATTTGGACGGCATTCTAAACCACTGTGGTCCAAAGGACATATGAGCATCCGACATGCTGATGGTGGTTCCTACCCTACCGTGGCGGTTTTAGTTTTGGCTTGACAGCCTTATCACCATGATCATACTATGACTGAGGTCTCAGCCACTTTCCCCCCAACTTGAGAGTAATGGCTGACTGGTATGATACATGCACGATTCATGTCGCCCTTGCTATTGCGCACACCCCAACCCACGTGTAATTCATGCATTTGAGAAGTATAAAAATGTAGAATTCCAAGTGCCCAGGAATATGGTTTTTGGAAATGTGTACGTGGCTGTCCGTTGTCGAGATCATGGAATACCATTCAACAAAAGAAAAGCACCATTGTTGGTATACACGTTAACAAGGAATCCGAAAAATTGATACTAGGTCAATATCGTATATTATTGCGTATATGGCACGGAAGAAGGAGGAGCTAGGTGAAGGCCACGGATTCCTCCAAAGTGTGTAAGTCGGAGGGACCGTTTGATGGATGGGCTTTGACTAGCCCAAACGACCCTTCCACCACCTTTCTTATCCAAACTCTCTGTCGACTGCTCAGATCTCAACAACTAAGGAACTCTCACTTTTGCACATTTGACAAATATCCCTTGCGCCATTCAAAACGTTCTTCCCTCATCTTTGAGATTCTAAACGAGCGATTGGAACGCTTGGTCGCACACATTTCGCGAAGTCCACCCTCAGATGTCGCTTGGCACTTCTTTGAGCCTACACCTTATTCGAAGAAACGCTGCAAGTCGCGCGGTCAGATCTACCTAAACTCGTAAGGATATGCGCCATATGTTTACTGATGCCTAGGCTTCAGCCTGCAAGGCACAGCCTTCGGAGCTGAATATACACGTCTTAGTACTAGGCCTTGACCTTGAACGCTGTCGTAGATCTCAGTCTTGCCAATTAGTCCAAGAGAACATGTACACATACCTGCTGATGATACTTATGAAAGCTTGTGATTGTTAATAAAGCTGGTCAGCAAGTGACGAGTGTTAATTGACTTTGGACGAAGCAGGCTGGGAACAGAGGTGGAAATGAAGGTGGAACAGGTTTCGCAGGAAGATCTGAAAACTTGCCAAAGGACTCTGCATCCCAGAAGCTTCTTATCTGGTCAATTCAGAAGGGGGTCTCGCGAGGTTTCACGCCAAGAGTTGAAGCTTCCTCTGAAGGGCTACATCACGAAGCCAAGCACACTAGCTAACCAAAGAACAGCTATTCACATCTAAATCGTATCACATGTTCATGTAAATCATCACAATCTCAACATCACACTTCTCACAGCCCCCTAACTCCATCCCCTCACTTACTCCCTCTCACTCTCCCTCTCCCGTCCCCTCGGCCCTCAACCCAAGCACTTCTGCACACTTGCCCTCCTCGAAAAACTCATCCCGTCATTCGGACTCACCATTCTCGGTCCCGGGCTCGAACTGCCCTCTCTCACACTCCGATCGGGAGTAGATGGACACGAGTCTTTCTTTTGGCAGTCCACGCCGGTCTAGTGGAAAGACTACTCATGCAATCAGGCCGTATACGAGAATAGTAATGAATATCTGATCAACGCATACTCAGCTTGGAGGCCGCTTCACGTCGTTTTCACCACGAGACCCAATCTCAGTTATGAAAGTGGATTCATAGGCGTGCATGCGCTCCGTCTTATAATGTTCTTACTATCTATCGATGTCCCTCTAAGGTCAACACATATAGATGATCTTCAAACTTCTCCTATCAACGGAAGTCTATGAGCATCGGCAATTTGCTTTGGTACTGGAGTAACCAGCTGTGTCCGGTGTGCGGCCCCTGACAATCGTGGCAGCGGCTGACAAGTACGTCTGATATTCGTCCTCATCTCTTGTTTCCTTCTTCCCATCTCTAGCCTGGCCTGTCTTTCTCAATATTGTTTTGGCCTCTTCGTCATTCGTGAACCCAGTGTCTTCCCCACGTTCCTCAAACCCATAGCTTAGTCCTCTTAAGCAGTCCATCTCTTAGTCTTCGCGGCAGGAGCCGGGCAAGGAGAGGTGTTATTCGGGTAAAAGATGTCATCCCCAACCCAGACGGGCCAGACCTCGTTGATAAAGGCCCGCGGACCATTATTATTGGCAGCGGTGACGTCAATGAACATGGTTAGGGTCGGCAACGTGTTTGGCAGACCGTCCGGCCCGAACAGCTGCACAAAGGTGAAATTGCCCTTGGCGCCGCACACCTTGCCGGTGATATCGGCGTAGTCGCTACGCCAGCTGTAGGCCTTGACCTCGTAGTCGGTGATGAAGTCCTCGGTCGAGGACTGGACGTAGAGGCCGGCGTAGACCGGGTCTTCCGCGTTGAAGAGGAAAGGGATTCTAGCGACGGGCGGGCCTTCGAGAGAGGTAAATTCGGGGGCGCCGTAGGTGGTGACGTCGCCGTCGCTCTGGTTGTACCAGCCGCCGTGGTTGTACTGAGGCCAAGGGTTGAGCGTTGGGGCGGTTGCGGAGGCGGCTGCCGTGGCGGCGAGGGCGAGGCCTGCGGCGATGGAGGGGAGGTTGACCATTTTGAGGGTGGATGAGAGGGAGGTGAGGTGTTGAAGGAGGATGTTCACGATGGGAGGCGAGAGGACGTTAGTTGAAAGCTCACCAGGAAGCAAACGACTATTTATACGCGAATACCGTCAAACTCGGGACGGGACTTATGAGCCTAGCCATGCTGTTCAGCCCTTTGCCCCTCTACGAGACGTAGGCGAGAATAGGCAGAAGTGCGGGTAGTGCAGACTTCATCGTGGTGCTGCGGGTGCCTTCAAAATCGACCAGGGCCTGCCACCCGAGTCTGATGCCATGATGCCACGAACACGAGCGCGGCGGATGACGCCCCCAAGTTGGGATTAGCTGTGGGAACTTCGGTGCTGAGATCTGATAGCTTCTTTCGCCACTATGGTCCAAGGAGTGTATTTTGAGTAGAGGAGTATATAGTGAGGGAGTTGAGAAGGGCGAATGGCCCATCTCAACCACTGTGCCGCTGAGCAATGCTACACAAATCAATCTGGGCCATGGTTAAGTTCGAGATGCTTGCCGGGCTCATGATTGAGCATGTTGAAAGAAAACGGCGTGGTTGCTGACGGACCGTACGGGTACGAAATTTGGCATTCACTGGTAGGATTCTCGACTTCAGGGATTAATACGGGCACAGACATCATAGGTCGCCCTGCCCGCTGTAATCCACCAGGCGTAAGACGAAGGACGTGCATCCTGCGGGAATCTGAACGCTATTATTTTCCGTTCCGTTCCGTTGGCCAAATCGTCTCTTCTTTTTTGACTCGGCTAACTCTATGCATCAGATCTTGATCAACCTTGGCTGACAAGACGGACTCCACGCCCGATCACTTCGTGTATGTACCAGGTTTGCCCACTCTTTCCTCCCACACCATAGGTACCTTACTTCAGCTGCTCGTCGGTCCGAACTGTCGTCGTCAGTCTCAAAACTGTCACGTCCTAGCTAATCCATGACGCAGGTCGCGGAACAACCAGGAACACCCCGAGTTCAGCTCTCCTACGCAGCTGGCAGCTTCCCAACGGCCCAATAAGCGGCGCCAATTGCAGGAACGGCTTCTGTCTGTCACTGCTGGCGAATCACGTCCAGCTTCAGGACACTAACGACCAGCTCTACTCCAAACCAGCAGCGCTACGGCGCACCATATTGCGACGTCAATCGCACCAAAGACACACCTTCAATTGCGGTATTCCCGACCTGAATCATTGCTGTGACTGTGAGGGAGGCCCGGCCAAGCTGAGCTGAGCTGAACATACCTACGGTACCTTGTTCGTAGCGAACCGGCATGCATCCCGACGAGACGTACAATCCCACCCAGCCAACCGTTACAACCCCCCTTCCTTGGCCGTGCCGCCGTAGGTCAGCCCAGCTCCAGAGAGCCCCATTTTACATGCAAGTAACGGCCCTCCCAAGCCTTCCAAGACGGCTCTGTACCCAGGAACACGCGTACATGAAGCCCGCCGAGGGGCTCTAAACCCCCGTGAAAATCCTCCTCCACGATGGGTAACTGCTTCTCACTTCTCCTCCCCTCCCCCTCCCTTCCCTTGCTCGAGACCGCCGTCATGACGAACCTCACCATCCGCAACCTCACGGCCCTGCCAGTCACCCTCAAGCGTGTCGAGCGCTTCGAGGGCGAGAGGAAGCGCACCGGAGACTTCCTGGGCAACACCTTTGGTACCATTGGCTCGTTCATGAACGCGACCAACTTCACCACCAAGGAGATCCACGCAAAGGGAGATGCCCACCAGACCGAGGACGTCGAGGTTCACGTCGAGCCCTTCGCCATTAGCGGCACCGAGATTGGGGCACCAGACACTGGCAACCACGATGTCATTCGTCTCCAGTTCGAAATCGAGGGCCATTGTTATGAGATTGACGCCCCGAGCCCCACCAACCGCTCTTCCGTCATGAAGAAGCTCGACGATGCGCCTTTGGAGCTGACAGCCGTCTACGTGGCCAACGGCGCATTCCTCGCCATCATGTCGTCCGCAAACCTCAATGCCTGGATGCACGAGCTGCGCGACGACTACCCGCTGCCCCTCCTCTCCATCCCCGGCACCCACAACTCGCCGACATGTTACACGGCGCTGCCGTCCGTACGCTGCCAGGCCGTCGGCGTCCGCGAACAGCTCGACAACGGCGTTCGCTTCCTCGACATCAGAGTCTCCGTCTCCCAGGACAACGACGACCTCTCCCTCGTCCACTCCGCCTTCCCCATCTCCCTGACGGGTAACAAGTACTTTGCCGACATGCTCTCCGACATCTACGCCTACCTGGAAGCCAACCCCTCCGAGACGGTCCTCATGTCCGTCAAGCGCGAGGGCACGGGCAAGGGCAACGACGAGCAGCTCAGCCGCTACCTCCGCGAACGCTACGTCGGCCGCGACGCCCACCGCTGGTTCGTCGAGCCGCGCATCCCGCACCTCGGCGACTGCCGCGGCCGCATCGTCCTCATCCGTCGCTTCGGCCTCGACGAGCCCTTACGCGGCGAGCACGACGGCCGCGGCTGGGCCATTGACGCCCAGAACTGGCCCGACAACTGCGAGGACGGCACCGTCGGCGGCGGCCTCATTCGCGTCCAGGACTTTTACGAAATCGACCAGTCGACAAACGTCGAGAAGAAGATCAACTTCTCCCACGGCCAGCTCGAGCGCGCCGCCGAACAGCTCTTCCACCTCCCCGGCATGCCCGACTTCAACGCCGATGCGCCGCCGCTGCCCTTCTTTGTGAACTTTTTGAGCGCGAGCAACTTCTTCAATGCCACCTGCTGGCCGGAGCGCATCGCCGCCAAGGTGAACCCCGCCGTCATTGAGTACCTCTGTATACGCCACGGCGAGCCAGGCAAGGGCCCGCATCAGCTCAACGTCGGCGACGCGGCGACGGGCATCATCGTCACGGACTGGGTTGGCGCGCACGGCGATTGGGATTTGATCAGGTGTATCGTGGGCATGAACGCGCGTCTGCAACTCAAGCACTAGGTGTGTCTGGGCCGCAGTGTGCGACTGGAGACTGGCGCAAGGGTTGTGAATATCAAGGGAAGCAAGGCATCATTACACGAGCAGAAAGCGAAGCGACAGAAAATGTTCTGAAAAAGAATTTTGTTTTTATTATCAAGTTCATCAAACTATGGGAGAAGATCGGGTCTCGCTAAAGAGTCCGTCCAGGTTCCTAGAAGTTGTCATGTTAGCCAATGTTTTGCCAAAGAAAATGCAAAACAAAAATGTAAAAATGACAGGTCTCGATCAGTTCTCCAAGGTGAATCGGTTTATGTTTTCTCTTTCATGATATTCAGTACTAGAGCTAATAAAAGGTCATCCGTGAGACAGTGGGTGTTGCGCTTGCAAACAAAAAAGTAAGAAAAAATGTAGACCTACCATTTGGGTATCATAGCAAAAAAAAACAAAAAAAAAACGTCAACAAGCATATTACCTATGTCACGGGTCAGCGACGTGTCAAGCAAGTGTGAAGCAAACACAAAGTGAACGGTCTGTAGGCAGTTAGTGATGGTGTCCCAAAAGATGGGAGACATAGGTGGACTAACCTCAATATCAGAAAGTGTTAATTACGTTCATGTCCAGCAAACACCGAAGTGAGCGCCAGTCAAACAGTGTGAATACTTGATCAACTCATCATAGTATCGAGAGACAGAACACGTTCGCTGCTTTGGGAGGCAGAAGAGGGGAAAGTGTGGTTACCTGCGTCGTGGATAGTCAGCATCGCTTGTCTCAACCAGATGAACGCAAGTTTCCGAGAGGTTCCTTCGAAGGCGGCATGAAGGAACCCGTCAACCCAAGCAAGAATTGGTAACCACGATCAGGTGACGATCGATCTCAACAAGAAGCCCCGACACCCAACACCACAGAGTTTGTACGCTCCGTTTGTTTCTGGCGAGGGGCATCGAGGTTCATTTATGTCCGCCCGTTCGTTCAAAACTTCCTCATGTGTGGTATTTGCTTGGGAGGCGGAAGTATGGAGGCGAAGCCTGGAGGATTCTGTATTTACCTATCCGATTGATGTTAGCATGAATGCCACCTGGATAGATGCGAGCAAAAAAGAGGTCATGTTTTGGCTCTAGATCAGACAAGGCTGAAACTATTGCACCGGATTCAACATTATGTATTCTGCATGAGGAATCCCTATGGTGTACGAAGTGTTCATCATATAGAGGCGAGGAGGGAAGGAGGGCTGCTGCTGAAGAGAGGGAGGAGAAAGTGTGAACGAACCTTTTGAAAATATTGTCAAGAGCAAGGGCCTCTAATTTTGAAGCGATTGAAGATTCTGGAGAAAGAAAATTCTGTTGCGCGTTAGCTTTGGATGCACGACTCCACAGACGCGAAAGACATGTAGCTGCGCAAGAAATTTTGCTCAGTTCTAAGAAAAGTGTGACACCATGGAATAGGTCTGATTTGGATTGTTCAATGTTGTTTCCAATCATCATCGCAAAAAGACAAAAGAAACCAGGTGAACTCTCGTGAGATGGAGAAAAGTAAACTTACCAATTGAATGATCCCCAATGCCTGCCAGTCGCGCGCCAAATCGGCGTTTGCGCAATGGCAGGCAGAGGGAAAGGTCTTGGTGATTGACCTTGTTGAGTATGGAAAAGAGAAGTCTGCAGCAGTTGGAAGAGCTTCGTGGAAAATTTAAAGGAAAGAAAAAAAGTCCAGAGTGGGGGTCCTACCTCGCGAGAAGGCGCTAGCCACCTTTAGACTAGCGCAAATCCCGTCCATAGCCATGCTTGTGGCGGTGCATCCGGCAATCTGAGTGGACAACCTCAGGTGGCGAAGTCTATCTTATCGCCTCCCTCTTATAAGTGCTCCTCGCGATCTCCCGCCCTCCCCCAGGTTTCCCTCCTTTCCCAAGGACATAGCTCCAGGTACGACACTGTTCGACTCTTTCTTGACGTCCCCTTCACCGGTCGTGATCTCATAGGAGTCACTCCAAACACACCCGCCAAAATGTCTTCCGCGGGGGGTATAGGGGCTCCAGCAGCCCTACGCCTCCTCCGCGTGGGCATCACCAGAACCACAAAGATGATACGAACCAAACTCGCAAACGCAACCCGCCCAGCCGTCCAAGGCGAGCTCGCACACATCCCCATCCGCACGACCCCGACCGGCCGACAGCCCATCCACCCGGCCGCTCTCCTCCGACAGAAGCGCGCGGGACGCTGGTACTCGACCCAGAGCATCAACAACACCGTCCGTCGATGGATCTCCACCAGCGGCGCCAACGCCTCCGGTAGCACCGGCGGCAGCGCACGCTTCAGCAGGGCATCGTTCCCGAGCTCAAACACCTCCCGCCGCGTGGGCCAGATGACCGGCCGCGCGCCCTTTGCGAACACACTCCGACCGAACCTCACCGGCGGCGCCATCGCCCGCACCCAGGGCGGCTACAGCGTCGGCGGCGGGGCCCGCTACTTCTCCCACACGCCCGCCGCGCCCGCGCAGGTGATCCAGAACGTCTCCGTCGCGATGCGCGCCTTCTGCCTCTCTGGTCAAAAGGTGCGCTACGACGGCCTCAACGCCCGCGGCGACAAGCGCTACCGCGCCGTCTCGGAGCTCGAGCAGGCCGCGTACGTCAAGATGATGGGTGCCGCCCGCGGGAACCCCGGCTCGTTTGTCGACTTCCACATCAGCCCCACCGTCACGGCCCTCAGCCCCCTGGCTGCCGCCGCCGCTGCGGGTTTCACCTCCGCTAACGCCGAGGCCCCCACCACCACCCTCAACGAGGATGGTTTCCTCGACGTCCTGTCCATTGACTTTGCTCGCGCTCTCAAGGACCTTGCCGTCGTTTTCGCAGACCTGAAAAGGCTGGCCATATTGGGCGATTTGCCCGTCACGATGGAAAAGAAGAATGTCCTTCGGGTGCGATTCCCTGGAGTCGACGCCGAGACTGTCGAGCGATTGTGCGATGATGCGGGTGTTCAGCGCGGCATCGTCGGCGAAGACGCCGATTTCGAAATCGAGAATGGCGTCCCGATGGCGCTTCAGTTCCCGTACGCCCCTGACGGTGTCAAAACCATCACTTCGCCCGGCGGTTCACTGCGGTCTCTTTCCGGCATCGATGTCGACCTGGAAGAGGCGTTCATGGATGAGATGGAAGAGCACTCTTGGATGTCAGACCCTGAGGGATATGAAAGCGTATCGCCTACCCCGAAGACCAGTGAGGACTGCTCCGATGGGTACGAGGGATTAGAGGGCATCTACAAATTCTTGGAGGAGTGTGACCGTAATAAGGGTCGGTTTTAAGGACTGGGTTTTCCTGTGTTTTATCAACGGTTGAAGCCGCAGATTGGGTTCTGGGCAATGTAAGGATCTACACTCTTTGTACAGTAACATGAGACTCTGGCCTCACGAAATGGCCGAGCACCGAAATGAAATTTCCTATATCCACATCAAGACCGAGTCAGTGATCACTGGTGCATCATCACACGATATGTGTCTTGTTCAATATATCTTGGATTGTCCTCATCTCCTATTGATACACTGTAAGGTTATCCCGCAAGCCTGCGCAGATGTATCTGTCGATATCAAACTCTGTGACGGTGCTCGTTGCGCAAGGCTGCAAGGCAATATAATCTACATCAGAGGGTTGACGGCTGATACTCAGTCCTTGTACTCCAAGCCCACTGCCTCGTACCAGCTCTTCTTCTCTTGCTCGAGCATTGCCCTATCCTCCTTGAGCACCTTCTGAAGCTTCTTGGCTCGCTTGGGGCTGCCCAGAAGTGCAGCAAGATCGCTGGAGGCACGAGCACGTGGAGTTGCCGTCTGGGCAGCGGGACCCGCACGGTGAGGGCTCACAGGAACGAGAGGCTCCTTGGCCTTCTTGGGTCTTCCTCTCTTCTTCTGGTCCTTCTTGGAAGGGGGCGTCGGGGAGCCCTGATCAACCTTGTGCGGAGTATCAACCTTGCCAATGGTCATGGTCACACTCTTCGTGTCGTCTTCAAGGCTCTTGTTCTGCTTCTTGCGCGATCCAGTAGTGTCAAGAACCCAGACCTGGCCACCCGCAGATTTCGGCGACTTCTCAGGAACGAAGCTAGGCCCAGGATGCTGAACACTATGTGGCTTAAAGCTCAAGAAGGGGTTGTAAGGCGTATGGCCAGCTGTGCGAACGAAAGATCCCCGATTGTCCGGAGTGGCTGGATGGATGCGAGTAGGCCCCTTCAAAGCTGTACCGGGAGACGACGCCACCTTCTGGGGACCATCGATGGAGGACTTGGTATCCTTGGTCCTGTCAGGCATGGCGGCCTGGTCATCCTTCTCGGCGATTGAGAGCGACTTGCTTCGCAATTTCTTTTTCTTCTTACCCTCGATGATCGTAGGCTCAGCGACCGTTGCATCGTGGACCGATTTGTCTGGCTCAGCATTGGCCTGACTCTCCTTGATGATAGTGTTGTCCGAGATACGCCTCTCCTTCTTGGATTTGTTGTATTTCGCGAAGGCCGCGGAGTCCTTGGTGCCCTCACTTCCGGGGCTAGCTTCAGCCACTTTGAGCTGCTCGTGTCCCTTGACGTCGTCGATGACTGTAACAGTATGGGCGAACTCTGCATGCTTGATCTTCTTCTGCTTCTTCTTTCTCTTGTCATTCTTGGCCCCGTGAGTGAGCACAGGCGTGTCCTTCTCCTGGAAAAGTTCAGGAGTGGGGACATCCTCGGGACTGTGGTCTTGCTCCTCTTTGCCGATATCAGCGGCAGCATTGGAACGAGATTTCTTGTGCTTCTTCTTATCCTTCCCTGCCTTGACCTCAGTGAACGGAGAAGATGCATGATTCTGGGCCTCGGACTTCTGGTGACTGAATGAAGTCTCACCGACGTCAGCTTCGTCTCCATGCTCGATAAGGTGAGCTGTGGCCGACTTGGACTTTTTCTTTTTCTTCTGTCCCTTTGCGAGATCAGCACCATAGCTAGTGTTTTCGGCATGCTCGACGTCCTTGGGTGTGATGCTGCCTGAACTGGTCTTCGGGGCATCGTCTTCCTTCTCGGTCTTCGTCTCATCGAATGAGATGCTCTTGGACTTTTTGTGCTTCTTCTTCCGCTTGCTATCACTGTCATGCTGACCTTTTTCTCCCTGTGCCTGGGTATCCTTGCCACCATGTCCGTTCTTCAACTTCTTGGAAGACTGAGGGTTATCATCGTCGCGCTTTCGCTTTTCGTTCTTGGTACTGTCAATCACCGCGATATCCTTGTCCTTCTAGGACTTGGTGCTGACAGCGTTCGGCACAAGAGGACTAGCACTCAGATCATCATCGAGAGCGTTGTGGTTATCGTCGTTCTCGTCTTCAGAATCTTCGGTGTCCCAATCAACGGAAGAAAGGTCGCCGTCTTTCGATTGGTGCTTGAGTGCCTCGCTTGAGGTGCTGGGTTCGTCTCTCAATCTTGACAGGAGGCTCTTGAGTAGGTCGACATCGCGGGCTCTGGCGCCCGAGGGATCCACGTCCAGCAACTTCTGTCTCTCATCCAGAACTTTGGTTTGACGGCGGATGAACCTTTTCTCTCTGGCCTTCTCGCGGAGTGAGAGCTGAAGTAGAGAATCTTGCTGATACTGGACATCGCTGGATTGACCGTGGCGCTCCAAGGCCATCGTCATCTTGCTGTCTACTTGGCCTCTCTTGCGGATTAGATCATCGACGGTCATTTCCAAGATCCTTCGAGTGTCTTTGTCGAAGGGCTTGGCCAAGTCGAGCCCGCGACCCTTCTGTAGCTGGGCAGTTTTCAGGGGCGCCATCGCCACTTCGTGTAAGCTTTCACGAGTAACTCGGCGATGAAATGGAAATGATTTGGGTAACAGTCGAACGGATGCTCGCTTGACTCGAAATGGGTAATGTGGTGCGAAGTAGAAGTTTTTGCCAGGTCAAGGAAGGGAGTAAACCTGGGACGTGGAAAAGTAAGTGGAGGTACCTAGTTGAAAGGGCCTGCAGGTGAGGTGAATGGAAGGAAGGAGCTCCCGTTTGTTCAGACGAACGGGCAGTTGAAGGAAGGCACCTTCCACCCTTCGAGAGCTCCCATCCCGACCTCCACCCAACTGGAGGTAGGTGGTCGGAGTTGCCGCCTGCCGACCCCGACGCTAAGCGGCAGCAAAGAAGCTCTGCACCTCTAGAAAATCGCAACGGAAGCTTCTTCTAATCTGCTTCGTGATGTTCCCCAACAACATGAACCATGATTGCCCAGATTAGTGAAACTTGAGAGGAAGCATTCGCACTAGCCTCCTCTAGGCCCTGCCACTCGCAGCCCTAGATCCCGAAGTCGAGATCCGGGGTAAAGCCCAAGATGGCGCAACTCCACCCCCACATTTGAACCTCGGCATTGGCGGCCTGGGTTTCACTGCCACTGGAGCTGCCCTCTCTGTCCGGTTAGCTGCCCGGTTAGCTGCCCGGTTAGCTGACCATAAGCCACGCCGAGGGCAGCTTGGCCATCGCCTGTTAAAACCGTCGCGAATTCCCCAGAGCTCGGCCGAGGTGCAACTCTGCTCAGATCTACCCGCCTTTTCTTTTCCAATTGCAATTCAGACTCGCCTTGTATCGCTAGCTGTACCTACACCATACAGATTTCTACAGAAAACTTCACAATGAGCGGCCCCGGTGTTGGATTCGAGTACCCCCGCCAGCCCGTCTCCTGGGTCAAGCGCGATGTGCTGCTCTTCGCGAACACCGTTGGTGCTACCGACGACGAGCTTCATTTCCTCTATGCAAGTTTTCTTTCCTCGCGGGGCATTCATGGCTGTTGATTGCTGACCGTTTGTCGACAGGAGCTTCACCCTAACTTCGCCGTATTCCCTACCTACCCTCTCATTCTCAGTGAGCTACATCACCTCAATCGATACCACGATCAACCCAGCTAACACCGAACCAGCATTCAAGGGCGACACCCAGGAGGTAGTCGACTTCTACGCCGCCCAGAAGGCCGTCCAGATCCCCAACGTTCCTTCCTTCGATGCCCGCCGCGTCGTCGACGGCCAGCGCAAGATTGTGCTTAACAAGACCCTTCCCCCAACCTCGGCTGGCAAGAAGTTCGAAGTCCGAACCAAGGTTCTCGGTGTTTACGACAAGGGCCGTCCCGGCTCCGTCGTCGAGACCCAGACCGACTTGGTCGAGCTCCCCAGCAACGAGGTCTACGCCAGCGTCATCACCAGCAGCTTCTACATCGCCCAGGGCAACTGGGGCGGCCCCAAGGGTCCCGCGACCGAGAACTTCCCTCCCCCGAAGGACAAGAAGCCCGATGCCACCTTCTCTCAGGCTACGAACAAGGAGTCAGCACTCCTCTACCGCCTCAATGGAGATTACAACCCTCTGCACGCGACCCCCGAGCCCGGCAAGAAGATGGGCTTCCCTGGAGCTATCATGCACGGACTGTACTCGTGGAACTCAACCGCTCACGGCCTGCTGAAGGCCCTCGGTGGCAGTGATCCTGCCAACATCAAGGAGTACCAGGCGCGCTTCGCCAGCCCCGTTATGCCCGGCGACAAACTGGTGACGGATGCTTGGAGAACAGGCGATTTCAAGGATGGATGGGAAGAAGTTCGCTTCCAGACCAAGGTTGAGGGCGGAAAGATCGTTCTTAGCAACGGTCGCGCACTGTTGAAGGTTGTGGAGTCTCCCAAGTCGAAGTTGTAAAATAATGGATTTTGGATGAGATTTTGGAACATTATTTCAAATTTAAGCACAGCATTTTATGACGCATTTGAAAAACTTCCATTATAATAACTCTAGGCTCTTTGCTGCCATATGGTTGTTGACATGTTGGTGTTCAGTAGTGTTGACCCTCACTAACAATTTTGACCTTCTGGGAGCTCCAGCGAAAGAGCTCACTCACACAAATCTCATGGATCATTCTGCTGCCTGCCCACTACAGCACCAAACCAGACCAAGTGCACAAAAAAATGCGTGCGGCTTTTCAGACATCTCAGCGGTGACGACAATTAGCTGAATCATAAAATGTCGTCAAGTAATTACATCGATCAGCGACTATCCTACGATAATGCGCTCTGCACTGTCCGCTACATAGGGCCCGTCGCCGGCACATCGGGTACCTGGCTCGGCGTAGAATGGGACGACACTGGACGCGGGAAACACGACGGCCAGCATAAAGACGTCCGATACTTTTCATGTACCTCATTTCCCCGCGCGTCGTTGCGTCGAGAGTCAAGTTTCTAATGTGTGTCTCGCAGGCCTCTCAAAAGCCCCCACCGCCGCCTCATTTGTGCGGCCAACCCGCCGCGCCGACGCCGCGCAGAGCTTCGTCACCGCGCTGCACGGCAAGTATGCCTCTGAGGCGGTCGCGAAGCGCGAGGCTGAGATTCAGTTTGTCTTCTTTGGTAAGAAACCTGCCGAGGAGGTCGGCTTCGACAAGATTCGCAAGCAGCTCGCGCGCGTCGAGGATTTGACTATCGTGATTCTCGATGGGACACGCATCCAGTTGGATGTTGTGGACGGGGACAAGAGCATCAAGGAGACGAGCCCCCTCATCTACGAGCTGGATCTCAGCAGAAACCTGTTTGAGGAGTTTGATCAGGTCATCAAGATCTGTCAGGAGCTGGATGGCTTGAAAAGCCTGAGACTGAAGTACGTTTGTGGCTATCCTTCGCTTTTGATCAGCTTTGACTGACTTTTGTCCTCAGCGGTAATCGATTCCGAGTGATCGAGACGGAAGAAACGCAGGCTTTCGCAAAGGTCACTGAGCTGGAGCTCGAGGAGACACTGCTAGACTGGGAAGCTCTTTGCGGCCTCGCCCGCAAATTCCCGTCTCTCGAGACTTGGAGCTGCAGCCTGAACCAATTGACCGTGTTGCCCAGCGTCTCGTTCGGATCGCTCGCCTCAACCCTCACGACCTTGGATCTCGAATTCAACGAGTTCACATCATTCTCTGATATCGCGGCTCTGTCGTCCCTTTCGTCCCTCCGCAACCTCCACCTCAAGGGCAACAATATCACCACCATCTCCTCTCCGTCCAGCCCGGTCCCAACATTTTCTTCGAGTCTGCAGTACCTAGACATATCCTACAACGCCGTCGCAAGCTGGGCCTTTGTAGATGCCCTCCGCACATCATTCCCGGGCCTCACGGCCCTCCGCTTCGCCCACAACCCAATCTACGACCATCCCGACCCGGACGCCGCCGGCGGAGATAACCAGACAAAGTCGACAGATGAGGCATTCATGGTAACCATCGGCCGCCTCGCCTCCCTCAAAGTCCTCAACTTCACAGCAATCTCAGCCAAGGACCGCGAGAACGCAGACATGTTCTACCTCTCCCGCATCGCGAGACAACTCGCCTCCGTGCCCGAGGCCGCCGAACCCGAAGTCATCGCACAACACGCCCGCTACAAAGAACTCTGCGACCTCTACGGCGCACCGGACGTCATCCGCCGCGACGAAATTAACCCTACCTACCTCGAGGCTCGTCTAATCACCGTACACTTCACCCACGCCGCAGCCGCACGTCCAGACAGCCAGGGCCAAGGCGGGGAACAAGTACCCAAGACGGCCACGATACCTAAATCGTGCGACGTCTACGCTGTCAAGGGTATCGCGGGGCGGCTGTTTGGTGCGGAGCCCCTGCGGTTGCGTCTGGTGTGGGAGACTGGCGAATGGGATCCTGTGGGCGGGTTCGATGAAGAGGAGAATGCGGATGATAGCAGCGACGAGGAAGACGCTGCGGCGGGGAGGAGCGGTGAGGGCCTCGCTGGGGCACAGGAGGCGAGAGGGGGGAGATGGGTCAAGAGGGAGGTTGAGCTTAGGGATGGGCCTAGGCAGTTGGGGTTCTGTGTGGATGGGATGGATGTCAATATCCGCGTGGAAGATAGGTGAAATAGTCTTGGTAGATCCTTTGAGTGGTCTCGCGGGATCATGCATATAGATTGCGGCTAGACTGCGTATTGGTTTTGGTTTGTAGCGTCTAAGGAAGACTGCGTGACATTCCGTTTGCTGCGTCTGTACAAGCGACGTGGGCATATACGCATGCTGCGGAGCAGAAGATTGCAGCAAACGGAAAGACTGCAATGAGATGAGCCAGAGCTGCCAACAGATATATGGACTTCACGGTCTCGCCTCCTCTTGATCTTAAACAGCCTCGTGTTCCCGTTACTCAGATTGAACCCCTTTAGACGTCTTCAGCTCACTACATACCCAACCATGCCGCCCAAAGTCACGAATCTCACTGCCTTCAAGACGGCCCCTGGCAACACCAAAAAGGGCCTATCTCACTCGATTCACAGCCCGCAAGCAGACGATGGCCCCCAGATACGACCGACACACTTCATAATCCGCGAAGGCAACCCTGGGGACATCGTACCTGTCATACCAGTCGACCTGCTCCCAGACTATGTAACCATTGTTGGCCTGTCGCGTACGCTGACCATCAACGATACCACTGGCATGTCGAACCTGGGCACATTCGCGAAGCCACAAGGTCACTATCAGCTACAATTCGTGTCTCCAGCGCATGATCGTCCCACCGGAGGAGATCCTGAGAGCTTGGATGCTGGTTGTCTTGTCGAACCTCAGCGGCCTGGGTCTGACGTTGCAAAGGTCGGCCAAGGAACTGGCAAACAGTACCATGTGGCAAAGAGCAACGGTGTCAACGCATCGTCAACATCAGCCACCTCGCAGTCAACTCCCAGAACAGTGGCCAAAGCCCCTCCCCTCGCTCCAGCTCCTTCGCCCCGGGTCCTCGACTGGGCCGAAGACGACACGGACTCGGTCTCGACAGACGACTTCTCCTCCGCAGAGCTCTCCGCGCCAGACACCTCGTCAAAGTCCTCCTCCGGCTCCAGAGACAAACGAAAGCCTTTCCGACGAGTCCAGGCCCTGGCCCCGGCATCGGCCGTGATCAAGGAGAAATCAGACGCCGAGATCGCGGAGCGCATGCTCGAGCTAGGCCGCGTCCAGCAGCACGCCGCCACCCGCAACCACCACCACCATCCCGCCCAGGCCCTGGAGACGACGGTAGCAGCGACGGCGGCATCTCACAGCAGCGACGGCAGCACCAGCACCGCCGCCGCCGGAGCCCCAAAGCCTACCCCTCCCAAGCCCGCCGCAGGAAAGCAAAAGGTAGTCCGGCCAGACGGCAGCCTCTGCCGGCACTGGTGCCGGACAGGCCAATGCAGCTGGGGCGCCGAGTGCCGCTACACGCACCAGATGCCCCTGACGCTCGAAGGGCTCGCGGACGTCAACCTGTCGGAGCTGCCGTCCTGGTGGCGTAAGCAGGCCGGTTTGCCTGCCGAGGGGACCATTGACCCGCGCATCTTTGCTGTTGCCATCGTTCCTGCCACTGGGTTGAAGAAGAGCAGCAGCAGCAGCAGCAGCAGCAGCAGCAGCAGCAGCAGCAGCCCCTTTCCGACGGCGCTGGGTGGCGTGAACACTGCTCCGCCGCCGATGATGGCTCTTGAGACGTCAAGAAAGGTTGCTAGGGTGAAGCCGGGGAAGGCTGAGAGAAGAATGGCGAGGGAACTTCGAGGCGTGCCGTTTGGGGTTGAGGGGGCGCGGGCGGGGATGGGGTTGTCGCCTGTTATTGCTGTCGGCAGTAAGAAGAAGTTGAGCTTGGGGCGGCTGCAGAGCCGGACGATGGAGGTTCAGCAGGTTGATGAGGTTGTTGAGAAGCTTGTTGATATTTGATCCTAGCTAGGTCAACGTATCTTTAGTGTGTACCTGTCTCTTTTTTGATAGACTTGGTTAGAAATTAGACCCGTTGATGAACTACTCGGTCAGTGCAACGCTATGTGATGTTCTTCTCTTTCGAAAGCCAGCTTTTGGCAGGTAATACGTCAAGCTCCGTAGATCACTCCGTTCAGAATGCCGGCTGTCGACAGCGCAATTTCCATGTTGAAAATGCCGGAGACCGTTGGTAGGCTTGTTTGTAAGCTTGCCAAGCCCGGTGTTTGACCTGCTTCCAGTGCATGAAAGACCCAAAGTGACCGGTGTTAGGAACTGGATTCACGGATGGATTTTCCGACACTTCACATTGAAGCCGGACTTGCAAAATGTCCGTTATTACGCTGCAATGCACCGTCCAGTGTGTCATCCCTTTGGCATAAGACAAATCGGCAAAGTGGCCGTACGATCACCGCGCGGGAAGGAATATAAGCGTCTGACACCATGAGATGGGCCGTAATCTCCAGCGGCGCATGTTTACACTAATACCGACTGGTCGATCGGGCTGGGGTTACGGTCAAGGTTGATAATGTAAGCGGCTTAAGTCCAGCCCACGGTTCCAAGACGCAGCGAATTTGGCACATTTCCGACCGATCGGGAATCGAGGGTTGTGGTAGATGCTAAATCCGTGACTTCTTAACCCCGTCCAGCGAATGGCAGCGTGCCAAGGCAGAGTTGAGAGGGACGTCGTCCAGTGTACGGTACCTGCGCAAACCACCCCCACATTACACTTTGGGTAACGTGGTAACCTATCTGCCGTGGACGTCAAGCTTCCATTTGGTGCTATGGTGGGGGTGTAAAGTATCTCCGCGTATTCGTCATTGAAGGTAGGACCGCTACGTGAAAACGGTAAACCGTACTTTGCACATGGGGATAGGTAGAAGGTAACTAACTCTTGGCTCCCGTCTCCTCTTTTCCGGTGACATTGGTGATATCATCTCGAAGCCTTCAATACTGTTATATAAACAGTAGTCACCCACGTCCAAGTCTTGAGATTAGGTTTGCTGAACACCACTCTCGACTCTCGATATCCACCGCATCTCGATAGCTCGATAACAGCACCAATACCCCGCAGCTCAAGCCTCAAGTTACTTAATTATTCAGCACCAGAGCAACGCTTTCCTTCACACTTTCACAACATCGTCAAAAGCCCTCACAAGACCATGCCTCAGCTCAACGGACAAGACGTCGGCCAGATCGGCTACGGCCTCATGGGCCTCACATGGCGCCCCCAGCCCTGCTCAGAAGAGCAAGCCTTCGAAGCCATGCGCACCGCCCTCGCAAACGGCAACAACTTTTGGAACGGCGGAGAATTCTACGGAACGCCAGAGTACAACAGCAGCACCCTCCTCGAGCGCTACTTCACAAAGTACCCCGAGGACGCTGACAAGGTCGTCCTGAGCATGAAGGGCGGTCTCATCCTCCCGCAGCTCAAGGCCGACGGCTCGCCCGAGGGCGTCCGCCACTCCCTCGACAAGATCCTCTCCCAGCTCGGGGGCCGCAAAAAGGTTGACATTTTCGAGTGCGCGCGGCGCGACAAGAACACGCCGCTCGAGGTCACGTTTGGGGTCATTCAAAAGGAGTACATTGACACGGGGAAAGTCGGCGGCATCACACTCTCCGAGGTCTCGGCCGCATCCATTCACGAGGCCGTCAAAGTCGCCAAGATTGTCGGCGTCGAGGTCGAACTCAGCTTATTCTCGACCGAACCCTTGACCAACGGCGTCGCCGCCGCGTGCGCGCAGTACGGCATCCCCCTCATCGCCTACTCGCCCATCGGCCGCGGCATGCTCACGGGCGAGGTCAAGACGCTCGACGATATCCCGCAGGGCGACATGAGGCGGCACATGCCCCGCTTCCAGCCCGACACGTTTGGCGTCAACATCAAGCTCGTCGAGCAGGTCGAGGAGCTGGCAAAGAAGAAGGGCGTCACGCCGGCGCAGCTCGCCATTGGCTGGATCGTCGCGCTTTCAAAGAGGCCTGACATGCCCGAGATCATTCCCATCCCGGGTGCGACGACGGCGGCGAGGGTCACGGAGAATGCAAAGCTGGTGGAACTTACCGAGGCAGAAATGGCAGAGATTGACGCGACGCTGGCAAAGTTCGAGGTCGCGGGTGGCCGCTACCCCGATGGTGCTCCCGTCAACACCTAAGACTTTTGCGTAGCGCGTAGAAGAAGACATCAAGAAATCTAGTCAAATCTTTTGTTCAATTGTCAGCTTGATCGTCTCTGGAAACGTAGACTAAAGGTATTGAATGAAGAAAGCTTCGAGAAGCAGGCTCAGTGTTGCTAAGTAGGGCGAAGATTTTATCCACAGAACGACCCGGAGGTCTTCAGAATTGCAGAATTCTTTTTTGATCATCATCGTGCCATTGGCGTCAAAAGTGAAAGGAAAATAACTGTATGACTTACCCTTTGCAGCCCGAACCTGTCGGCGTTGCAAAAAATTTATTGTTGCACTTTGGTGAGATGGATGCAGTGTAGAAAAAAAAATTCGTATCTGGGCAAAGACATTTGTGTAGCCGATGACTAAGCGAACCATCCTCAATTCCTAGGCGGCCAACCGAGCTGGTGGATGCTCCCGGTTTCCACTTGCTTGACGGATACCTCAAATTAATGGCTCTTTGCACATGATAAGTATCACAGCGGATTCAGCTGGTGAACGGCGCGGCGGATGAAGTCTTCAAGAAGTAGATTTATAGGCTCAACAATAACACGGTATCAGGGTATACAGCAACGCGCCTTTTACCAACAAATCGAATACAGTGGCTCTCGCCCCAGAAGGTACACAAAAAGAAGTTGGCTTCTACACCATCGCTCCGTTTAACCCGTGAGCCTCAACCCTATTGACCAGCTTCTTCACGTTTGTCCACTCCTCCGCCTTGAGGTCGTCTCTTCCGCCCAAGCCAGAGGCCACCTCGAACACGGTCAAGACTCCGTCGATACCTCCCGTAGCCAGACGCTTGCCTTCAGAAGGCTCCCAGACAACCTTGTTCAAGCTCTTGGCAAGCATCGTTCTACCATCCTTGCGAGAGCTCGGGGAAATTCTTGCCACAGGCTCCTCCGTCTCCACCGTGATGTCCCACAGCTCGAGCCAGCCTGCACCGTCAACGAGGGCAAACACGCTGGGCTTGATCGGCGACCATTGTGCATCATAAACTACGTCTTCTCGTACAAAGTCAATGAGTGGTGAGACCGTCGGCTCGACACCTGCTGTCGATGTCGCTGCAGGTGCGCGAACCTTCCACAATCTGACACTCCAGTCAAGAGACGATGAAAGAACCAAGTCGCCGAGATCCACCGGGCCGCGCGCAGGATGGAAGTCCACCGACATGACCGGCGCCGTGTGTCCCTTGTAGCTGACACGGGCATCAACCCCAGCCTTTGCGCCGGCTCGATCGTATCTGTGGCAGGGGAAAATAGTGCCCTCCTCACTGCCAACGAGGAAAAACGTAGGATCCGTTTGGGGGAACGCGAGGCAGGTCGGGCTAATGTCGTCCAACTTGTATCCAGGCGGCGCCTTGAGCTCCAACAGCTCTTGCGGCTGAGCGAAGACGTCCATGCTCCAACCGCAGACCACACCGTCCGTCGAGGTTGAAATAATGTTATTGGCGTTTTGAGTACCCACGATGTCTACAGAATAGATGGGATGTGTGTGTCCGTATCCTGTAAGTGGCGTCTTCTGGACGGGTGCCGATTTTGCTCTCATGTCCCACAGCAGTACTTGACCGCTGTAAGTGCCTCCGATGATGAGGTTCTGGTGGTAAGGGGAGAATTTCGCTGTGAGAACATCGGACTGCGCGTGGAAAACATACTCTGGCCTGTCACGCAGAGCCAAGCTCCAAACTTGGACCAGACCGTCCGGCTCGTGTGGTGCAGTTGGATTTTTGGTATACGATGCCAGCATCAGCTCTGAATGATGATGTGAAAAGTCGATACTGCTGATCATGCGTTTCTTCGACCATCTCTCATCGAAAAACTGAGCCACCTCTTTGACTCTCCGCCGACCCTTGCCACCAACGTTGCCGCTGTCATCGTCATCATCATCCACGTCCTGGCCTTGGAGGGCGTAATCCGTGAGGATATCGTACTCCTGGCCAAGAGCTCTCTCGATTACTTTCGTGGATTTCTCTAGGAACTCAGAAAATTCGGGGGCACCAGTAACGGCTTCCAGCTCCTCGGAGGTAAGCTTGCGCATGGGATAATTCGCCTTCGCCGGCGCGTCGCTCGGGATCACACCATCCTTGAGCAGATCCAGCGAGGCCTTGAGCTCCTCTTCCACCTCCTTTCGGATGTCCTGTCGCAGCTCTTCTTCGCGATCCCGCTGTCTTCGGCTCAGCCTCTTGCTGGGCGTCGATGTGATAGGAGGGATGTCTTCGGTGTCGGAGAGCGATTGGGCTCTGGGTCGGGTTGGCGAGGTCCATGCTTCGGCCGTTTGCACTCCCTTACTGTACGAGTGCACTTCCTTGACAGGAGATGGAGGGACTTCGTAGATGGTCGTGAGTGGTGCCGTCGTCAGACTCAGCTGTACGGGTGTTGCTACAGGAGCTGGGGCCGGAGTTGGCTGGCCATTGGCGGGGGTTGCGAATTCCGATGTTGCAGTACTCAACTCTCCTGCGCTTAGGACGCTGTTGGGCCGGCTACCCCTACGTGCCGGTGACGCAGCTCCTCCAGTCGTGGATCCAGGTCGACTTTCTCCCACCAAGCTGTTGATCAAGCTTTCGATGTCGCGGCGGTTCTCGGCTCGGCCTGGGATGGGGGAGACCAGCTATACGAGACATCAGCAGACTGCGCCAGTAAAGGGACCGGTTCATCTCACGTCGCCTGGGCTTCCTGCACTTTGCCGGCTTGCTGTTGTCTGAGTTGCACGAAGCTCTCTCTGTCGCTTCAGCTCCGCGAGCTTAGCCTTCTTTGCGAGGATTTCATCTCTTCGCTGTTGCATGTTGTCTTCTCCTTATTCCCATCGCGGGACTAGCCGACTGTGTGGGTGGATTATCGCGGGGCAGATAGGCACTGATGTTGCAAAATCAGGTAGGTAGGGTCGAAGGATCGCAAGTGAGTCGGAGTGCTGGGTGTAGAAAGGCGAGGAGGAGCCGACTTTTTGTTGACGATGTCGGATACCTGTGACAGTGTCTGGCAACGGCAGCGACGTTTGGTTTGATGGGGATTCCCTTTCCATGCGCGTTGTCCCGTCGCGATTCCAGAGGGACCCCTGTTTAGAGTCAGGTACAACTTCAGCCAAAATGCTGCAGAAAGATACCTTTGTGGCCCCTGCATTAAAGTTGACCTTCCGGTACCCATTTGCCTAGTAGCTTGGTGGACATTTCCACCGAGAAGCAACTAACCTTGCAAGGCAAGTGACGCACGTGATTGCGCCAGATCGGCAAAGGGTCGGCAGAATTGCGTCGTCCGTAGCGGCATTCGGTCGCTGAGGTAAGGAAGGTCCCTCTGCGGCACAGCGGCTTGGTGCAAGCTTCCAGCCCAGTCAGCATGGCGACGGGCGCTGGGCGCGGGCAAGTGGTGCTGGGATGGTGTTCCCTGTCCGAGCTCCAGACGCCCGGGAGTGACTTGACTGCCAACTACTGGAAAATCTGCGAGTTTCCCCGAGCATATTTTCAACCTGGAAAACCTCACACCCTGCGTCCCCTAACGTAATTCCCTCGACAGAGCTCCGAAAGGGTCAATTGGCAGCCATTGTCAACCCGCGCACTGTCCTTTCCATCGTTCGCTCCCTCTCGAAAGCAGTCGCGCAATCCAGGCAATTGTCCACAATGTCTTCCTCCTCAGGAGTTAACGTACGTCGTGTCCTTCGCCCTCGTCCGCATCTTGCGGAGCACCCAGCCACCTTGTCTCCCTAAGCCGACGACCCTCCATCGCCACGCCAATCAACCATGAGCAACGAGCTTGCGCTTTCGAGATTATGAACAGCCCGGCTGATTGATGGAACTTATAGGTGCTGAGATACACGGCCCTCGGCCTGGGTGTGTTCTACGGCTTCACACATCAGCGATCGATCACAGCAAGCCAGAAGGCTGCCGCCGCCACGAAGGAGTACGAGCGCAAGCAGAAGTTGATCGACCAAGCCAAGGCCGAGTTTGCGAAGAAGAGCCAGCCCGTCACGACGGCGGCTGCTGATGCTGGAGGTGCGTTTCTCCCTCGATAAGACGTAGCGGACTTTTGGATGTCGCGATTCACGCCCGTCATTTCTCGCCCTTGTTGGCGGCTCCCGTAGAACACATGAAGACTGACATCAGCCACAGCCAACGTCGACCCGATGGACCCCAAGTTCGACCTTGAGGCCTACTTCAACAACCTGGTGAAGCAGAACCCGTAGACTGGATAACGAATGGGGGAGGGGACGGCTTGCACAACGGATAGACAGGGTCGGGATTGGGGATACGCCTGCTCGCGGAGAACACGAAGAGTCCTAACAAGGGACGAATAATCTGGTCTTTCGGCAGCAGTAGGTGCATGGTAGGCACCACGACCGATGTCACCGCATAGACATTTCCTTACGTCTGTTTACCGGGTGTACATGTGTACAATATGCTCAACTAGATGACAATTCCAAGGAACGAGCCATTGGATTCCATCAATTACTTACTTTCTTGCGCATCACCTCCCCACTCTGCGAACCTGAGCGGGATCTACATGCCTTGGTAATCAACACATGGTTCCAATATGGTCTGCAATGCAGTCGAATGCTGCATTCCCTGAGAGTGCCGCAACTAATTCTAGGAGACTGGTCCACGGTAGTTGTAGCTGCACAATGGCCGAAACAGTCCTAACCTCCGATATCCCGCGGCTTCTGCTCATCTAAGTAATAAAAGGCGGGCAGCCAGTTGGAGACTTTCGCTGGTGACAGGTCGGATGATTCGTCTGATGCGGAATCATCTCTCCAGGCGCAGGATGACCATTCATCAACTTTACACCTACACGGAATACGTCGAAGCTGCGAAGATGTACCGAATGCAATCATTGCCCATCACATATGGTGAGTCTCTCACTGTACGAACCAAACAAGCAATCTGTACCTACCTTACTCAAGGCCGGGACCCGGCACTGGCCCGGCCACCCCGGGCGGGACGGAATCCCTTAGCCCGGGACAATCTTTGTCCGATACACGTGACTCCACCTTTCCCAGACTTACGCGGAAGCCACGACTTGGCTGCTGTCAACGGGACACACCACTGAACGGGTCGGCTCTCCATGGACCGTGCACGCTGCCCCTGCACCACCGATTCAGGTGCATAAGCTCCAAGCTGTCCTTCTCGGATACCTTGCTGTGAGACAGAAGGTCGTCGTCGCCAGCTCCATTTCGCAACCTTCAACCTACACGGCCACTGCCTTTCTACACCAAACGCGGCCACAATGACGGCCCAATCTCTTGGACCCCTCTCCGGAGGCAGCAAAGAGAACACACGAACTGTCCTCAGAGTCACCATCTTGTCTCTGATCGCAGCTGCCGCTGTCGCTAGTCGTCTTTTCTCCGTCATTCGTAAGTGCCCCTCGACACGTTGCCAAGGGCTCTCCTTCCTACCATCACCAGCACCAGTTGATGGTTGGATCGGAAGGCGCTCATCGCGATCCTCCTCACCGCAGAGAAAGCATGCTAATTCAAGTTTTACAGGCTTCGAGAGTATCATTCACGAATGTTGGTCTCTTCCCGTTCTACGTCCCTTCCTCCGTACCCGAAACTAACTATTTACCAGTCGACCCCTGGTTCAACTTCAGAGCAACCAAGTACCTTGTGGCCAATGGATTCACCAAGTTCTGGGACTGGTTCGATGATCGGACATGGCATCCTCTCGGTCGGGTTACTGGAGGAACTCTTTACCCTGGTCTCATGGTGACCAGCGGCGCCATCTACCACGCACTTCGAGCTCTTACGGTTCCCGTCGATATCCGCAACATCTGCGTTCTTCTGGCGCCAGCTTTCTCTGGCCTTACTGCCTATGCCGCCTACCTCCTCACCAATGAGATGACCACTTCGCCCTCGGCCGGTCTGCTTGCGGCCGTCTTCATGGGTATCTCCCCTGGTTACATCTCCCGATCAGTTGCCGGCAGTTACGACAACGAGGCCATCGCCATTTTCCTTCTCGTCTTCACCTTCTACCTGTGGATCAAGGCATTGAAGCTGGGCTCCATGCTCTGGGGTGCTCTTTGCGCCCTCTTCTACGGTTACATGGTCGCCTCATGGGGTGGCTATGCTTTCATCACCAACATGCTTCCTCTGCATGCTTTGACCTTGATCCTCATGGGTAGATACAGCGCCCGTCTCTACGTCAGCTACACCACTTGGTACGCTCTGGGTACATTGGCTAGCATGCAGATTCCCTTCGTCGGCTTCCTGCCTGTCAAGACCAGCGAGCACATGCCCGCTCTCGGTGAGTGAAGACGTGAGAGCTTTGTATTGGTATGAACTAACATGCGCTAGGTGTCTTTGGCTTCCTGCAGCTCGTTGCCTTCATCGACTATGTTAGAGGAGCTATTCCCAGTCGCCAGTTCCAGACCTTCGTCTACACCTTCTTGGCTGCGACATTCGGTCTTGCTCTCGCTGGCTTGGTGGCCCTGACATCGTTCGGATACATCGCCCCCTGGGGTGGTCGTTTCTACTCTCTCTGGGATACCGGCTACGCCAAGATCCATATTCCCATTATTGCATCAGTCTCTGAGCACCAGCCTACCGCCTGGCCTGCTTTCTTCTTCGACCTCAACATGCTTGTCTGGCTCTTCCCCGCTGGAGTCTACCTTTGCTTCCAGAACCTCCGGGATGAGCACGTTTTCGTCGTTGTTTACGCCCTCTTTGGCACCTACTTCGCTGGTGTCATGGTGCGTTTGATGCTCACCCTCACTCCTATTGTGTGCGTTGCTGCGGCTATGGCGGCATCCCAAATCCTCGACACTTATATGGTCGCCAAGTCCCCCAACCCTGAGGACTTCAAGACCGACGAGGCCGTCGAGGGAGCCCCCAAGAAGGCAGCCAAGCAGAGTGGACTTAAGTCGACCAGCAAGCCGGTCGTTGGTATTTACACCTTCCTTTCCAAGGCCGTCGTTGTTGGTGGTATGTCCATCTTCTTGCTCCTCTTCGTGCTTCACTGCACCTGGGTCACCTCGAATGCCTACTCTTCGCCCTCTGTCGTCCTTGCGAGTCGACTGCCCGATGGAAGCCAGCACATTATTGATGATTATCGCGAGGCTTACCAGTGGCTGCGTCAGAACACCAAGGAGGACGCCAAGATCATGTCTTGGTGGGACTATGGCTACCAGATTGGTGGCATGGCTGACCGTCCCACTCTCGTCGACAACAACACATGGAACAACACTCACATTGCCACTGTTGGCAAGGCGATGAGCTCTCGTGAGGAAGTCAGCTACCCCATCATGCGCCAGCATGAGGTTGACTACGTCCTGGTGGTGTTCGGTGGTCTGCTGGGATACTCCGGTGACGACATCAACAAGTTCTTGTGGATGGTCCGCATTGCTGAGGGTATCTGGCCTGAAGAGGTCCAGGAGCGCAAGTTCTTCACTCCCCGTGGAGAGTACAGAGTCGACGATCAAGCGACCGACACCATGAAGAACAGCTTGATGTAAGTAACAGATCATCCTTGAGTTTGAGATCCTGCTAACAATTTTGTAGGTACAAGATGTCTTACTACAACTACAACTCGCTGTTCCCCGCTGGTCAGGCCCAGGACCGCGTCCGTGGCGTTCGTCTCCCGGATGTCGGCCCCAAGCTTGACACCGTTGAGGAGGCTTTCACCAGTGAGAACTGGATCATTCGCATCTACAAGGTCAAGGACCTTGACAACGTTGGCCGTGACCACCAGGCCGCTGCAGCCTTCGAGAGAGGCCAGAAGAAGAAGAAGGCCATCAAGAAGCGCGGCCCCAGAGTCCTCAGAGTTGACTAAATAAGGGCGGTGACAAGACACTCCGAGGATGTTGCCTCGGGAGTGCCTCTCAATTTCATTGTATTGGGACAGGGATAGGTGGTTCTAGATTCCACATGTAGACACAAAAAGCACGCTTAGGCGAATGTACACTACTTGATCATGATTCATTTGGCACTCTTGCAGGCTCCTATGACTGTCAATGTATTCCCGAGAGGGCCAACGACCGACTGAGGCATTTCTAAATCCTGGAGCTGATAATGCCCGGACTTTGAGCAACTGGGGCAGAGGAGGCAAGAACGATGTGAGCATATGCTATCTTACCTTATCGAGGAAATCTCCAGATCTCCAGATCTATAAAACATCTAGTCAGGTGTTTATGAAGCTAGAGATCTTCAAAATACTACAATTTCTTTTGTTATCCCCTTTTCTGCTGCCACCGCTGAGCCAGCAAACCTATTGTGACTATTTCACTGCATGTGAAAAGGGCCTTAAGAGCATCTACGAGCATCCCTGGCTTCACCTCTAGCTTTGAACAGACTTCGGTATACTCTCATAGTAAGAAGTGCTAAGTGGAAGGTAAACCCCAGTGCTCACGAGAGGCTAGTCCTGAGAAAACACTGCAAGACAGATGAGTACGTACCTCTCACTTTTCCTTCAAGCCTTGTGGCCTGATTTCGATTCCTTCCGTGAGTGGTGCTTGAAGTTTTTGTCCTGGGGAAGGAACTCGCTTAGCGTTGTTTTGATGGTGTTGCACCTTCCTCACCGCCGCAACAATTCTCCTTCTGTGGCACCCATTGCTTTCCTTTGATAACCTCACCAACTTCTTACAACTTGCTTACAGACGCCCCATCCCAGGATATTGCGGACACTACTGGAAGCCACGGGAAATCCTACGAGCATGGCACCCAAGGAGAGGCCTCTTGCTTCGAAGGGAGGAGGAACAGACTCTTCTCGGTATCGCTGTAAGGCATTTCCATCCATGATTTGATTCGAAGACACTGGGACACTGACGTTTACAAGCAGCGGCACGCAACGAAACCCCTCGTCTGACTCGCCACCAGCCGTTGGATGATCAGTACGAGCGCCAGAGACGCCCTGTCGGAGCACCTCCGCGAAGACGCATCAAGTCCAGCCGCGCTTCTGGCCGTTCCAAGGGGGTTTCGCAGTCCGAGTCGACCTACTCTGATGTTTATTCGGCCTCACAACGCTGCCAATCTGTCTGCTGTGATTCGTCGGGAGATGGGATTGTCACATCTTCCTTGTATGAGAGCTCGTCGGCAGCCTTCACCCAGAGCCGGTTTCAGCTCACTCCCGAATCGCATTCGGGTTATCAGGAGGAAGAGACTTCTCTTGCACAGCCTGCAGTACTCCGGCAAGATTTTGAGTCGGAGATCTCGGATAGCACCATCACCGCAGTCACCCACGAAAGGTCACGCCGTGGAAAGCATGCGGCGCATCGTCATCGCCAGGATACCAGACGGGACACCAAGCGCGACAGAAACGAAACATCTTGCGACTAGGCGTCCGAGATTTCTGTTCATATTGACGACAACACCGATGGTTTTTATTGCTTGGGCTGTGGCATTCGCCGATCTGACGAGCAACACAAAATCCGCAAGTTCCGAGATGGAGACCCGGCCTGGCGCAACTTCTGTAAGCCGTGCCACGAGAAGCATCTCACCAGTGGCGATGGAAAGACGGTGATGGCATATGGGAACTTTTGCTTCGGCTGTGGATTTGCCCGCTCGTCACACTTCAACAAGGAGAATCCCATCAAGCCCAGCAAAAAGCCGATCAAGAACTTTTGTGCTCATTGCATGAAACGTCTGTCCAAGAAGGCAGTCATCCCAACAGAGACTTTGCTCGGTATCGTAAGTGTTAACATTTGCTTCACCTACCAGCTCTGGACGCTAATAATATTCAGTCCTCCGATGAAAGTGGCCCAGAATCAGAACCGCTCGAGTTCGACGAAGAGCAACATGATGGGCAGAGCCCAGAGCACGCCGGTCATTTTCGCATGTCGTCCCAGCAAGAGACGGCAAAGCCGAAGAACGATGCTACCGACGATTCTAATGAGCACTACGAAGCTGGAAACGAATCAGATGAACTTTCTCCATCGGAGTCTGTTCGAAAGCGACTGAGAAAGCGCCGTTCTGCTCGAGCAAGCGATGCGGTACCTCTGGAGGAAGTCCGGCCCAAGTCCCAGCGCTCTACGACAAGCCATAATGAGGATCATACAAAGTCTGCCTTTGAGACAAGCATCAGCCATCAAGCCCCCTCGGTCGAAGATGTTCCAGATACTGAAGATAACCTACGACCCGAGGACAACGAACCTGCCAACTCTTGCAGCTCGCCAGCCTCAGCCCGGCCCACATCTGTCAAGGTCGCACCTGCCACGCCGATCCAAACGACAGCCCAGGTTACGACCAGCGATGATTGTCCTGACCCCGATCCGTCTCTGGACTCGGAAACCTGTTCACCTTCTAAGCGAGCTAGATTCAGTGAACGGGTCGAGGTCCGCACATCTCCGACTTTCTGGCAGCGAGAGCATCCCGAAGGTGACAATCCATATGCGCAATTCCAGTACGAACAATACCAGGATGATCTCCGCGATGGAAAGAAGGCCGTTCCTCTCAAGGATCCACTGAGAGATCCTGATGGCAGGACTGCAGGACAGCTCTACGTGCCCCTATGCAGCATCGACGATCATAGCTTCAACTCTTGGAGCAACGAAGGCGCGACAGGATGGGAAGATTTTGCTGCCAAATTCAGACCCAGCTCCGCCAAGGTCTCCAGTGACAACCCGCTTCATTCTAGCACTTTGTATACCCCCGAAGGAAACCAGCCCCACGATTGTTCCACCAGCAATGGTTACCAGCATCGCTTCACCAGAGATCGATCGAATCCAAACAATCGACAACAGCAGCCGCAAGATTTCGGCGATTTCTGCTATGGCCAGGGCAAAGAGAATCAGCCATGCCCGCCAAGTCCCATCGCCCCTTCCGGCTGGTACTCGCAGCATGACTACTTTGATGGCTACCACAATCCCGAGAACCATCACGCCACAGACTGGACATCCCGCCGTGATGCTCGTCGCACTGAGCGGAACCACGGCCCATGTGCTAAACAAGCCGGTTCCTTCTGGGATACACATGATCAGTACCCCAGTATGGATTACCAGGCAGACGGCGCAGGCAATCATTTTGAATCCTCCAGCGGCTATCCTGATGACTACGGTTCCTTCGGAGGATTTGGCTTTAATTCATATAGGTCAAACGATCATGGGCTGTATCCGGAAGAGGACAGCTTCCATCACAGCAACTACGACTCTGCTTCTGCTCATCAGCAATATTACCAGGGCCCCCAACCATCTCCACCGAAAGAGAAGCGGCATGGCTTTGAATTTGGTACTTCTGACACCCATGAGAACATGAACACTCGCTCTTCCTACAGCTTCTCTGGTTATACGACGGAGCAAGACACAGCAACCGGGTACGGTGCTTCGCGCGATGCTGGAATCCCGTTCGAGACCTCAACCACGAGCAGCGACGCGCCTCAAGAGCCCAAGCTTCCTCCTATCGGCATTGTCATGGAGATTCCGGATGATATGTCCGACAGCGATGTCCACACTCTGCTCATCCCCGGCTGCGACGACTATATTCCTATGGCGTACTGAGCCCGACTTCCTTTGCAGCTACTTTTCGTCAAGAGCAGCTTCCACCTTATTTTTACTGATTCTTTCATCATGTCTGAACTTTCACGATCGAGGATCGTTTGCGAGCTCGTCATCCAGCAACACAGCTAACGACGGCATCGCGACTATGCGACGACGGAACGATATTGTCGACCTAACATTCTGCCTGCAAACGGAATTGCAGAATCTTGCTGTGGAATACTCCAACTTTTGTTTCGCTTGTCTTTTTTTACGTATCTTTCTCTTGCCGGTTACTTCCTCTTACGCCATTACCCCTTTTCGACAAACGCCGCAAATTCCATCACCCTTTTCTTGCTTTTATCTCACTTTTCTTCGTTCGCCTTTCTGGCAGCTTTTCGCAACAAGGCGATTCGCTACGGATTATGGGAGAAAGGGCATTTGACCATTCATCGTCACTACGCAAGGCTCTATCGCCATTCAACAGGATCTCTTTCCGACACATTCGGACGCAACCGAGTGGCTTTTTACCACAGCCGAAAACCCACAACAAAGCTTGCAGAGAATTGGTTTGGGTTTACTGTTATTTGGAGAAGCATCAACTCCAATTGGATGGTGGTTTTTACCTTGTGCCTACGACTTTGGGCAACGCTTTCGTTGAGTTTGGGATTCAGCAATCATTTGGATCATGCTCTTGACTCTTTCTGGAGGGTTAATGGCTTTCTAAAGTCGTCGTACAGGATTGGCTTGCCCTGTTTTGCCCCTTGAAACAAAAAAACCACAGAAGGAGAATTTGAGATTGCCAACCTGTAATTAGTTAGTAACACGACCAGCAATGCAAAGACGATTCCATAGAAGGAGGGTTTTCCTTTTTGCAACATTACGAAGTGATGAGATGGGTGTTGATGTTAGAGCTTACTATATCGTCCAGAGTCCCCCGAGGGAGGGTAAGAAGCTAGAGGCGAAAATGATAGCCTCGGGTGTTGTTGACGTGACAGCATCAAGTTTGTGTCAACGATGCCACAAGATAATAATCTCTAGTCTCTTTTTTTGCGGCGATGAGAAGGTGTGCCTTCACCTTCAATCTTACCTCAAGACAGCAAGATGAAAAAACATTCTGACAGAATTGTGATGGGGACTTTTTGTCACAAGAACTACATCGCAACGACAACTATATTGCGTGCCTCTAATCACCTCTCCCCTTCCTCTCCCTGAGAGAAGCAATGGTGGTTGACAAGTCATCTTGCAGTCATTCGCCAGAACGATCGAAGCATGACAGCAAAAGACAGGCCTAGCAATTTCACAAAGCCCAAAAGGCCCAAATTCGTATTATTCAACCGAATTAGTATGCAACAAGTAATGGCAACACACATTTGGATATATATTGCTGAGTACAGAAACAAAAAGGTGTCGACGAGACTGAGTTTCAACCCCCCCAGCCACTCTACGGCTTCCTACGCGGTCCGGCTTGCTCAATGGCCGCGTCCAGCGCCATTTCCTCTTCCTCCAACCTTCGGATCTCGTCCTCCGTCATGCCGTCCTCAATCAGATGCGAAACGTTGGAGTTGACGTTGGGCGTCGACGAGCGCGGACCGCCGGCGCCGCTGCGGGTCATGTCCTCGACCGACCGTGAGGCGATGGATGCGTGCTCCTCGCTGTACGGCGCAAAGGGAGGCTGGTGGTGTTCCGTGGCGCTGATGGCTGAGGCAGGTACTGCGGCGGCGGCGCCGGTCTCAAGGGCGTCGTTGTGATCGTCCTGATGCAGTTCTCGCGAGAGGTGATGCTGTTCTTGGGGTTGTGTCTGCTGCTGGAGGTGGTGCTGGGAGTGCTGGTGCTGTCCGTCGTCCGTGTAGGGCGAGTGTGGTGACTCGGTCACCCTGGCGTGAGTCTCCTTGTCGGCGAGGTACTCGTGGGGGTTGTGGCCGGGGCCGTACGCGCCGTCCGAGACGTAGTCTGCGCGGCGGCGACGACGGCGGAGGCAGAACCATATCAGGAACGCGATGAGGGCGAGCCCGAGAACACTGCCGATGACGATGCCGGCGATGGCACCTGGCGCAAGACCTCCACTACTGCCGCCGCTGCTACTACTACCGCCGCCGTTGCTGGGACCACTGCTGATGGTTGGTTGTGATGCATCTGGGCTCACGGAGGCCGTGGGGGAGGCTGTTGCCTGAGTAGTGGATGTTGGTAATGGTGATGTTGAGTCACTCTCCTCTTCCCTGCCAAACTGTTCGACTGAATTGCTATCGCGTTTGGCCGCAAGTTTTTCGACTGCCTCTTCATACGCTATAGATAGATAGGGTCCATTGAAGACGGCGAAAGCCCCGCTCGTCGTCGTGCCGGATTTATCTTCTGATGTCCACTGAAGCTCAATATACATACTGAAGCCTGTGTAGGTTGCAATCTTCTCCGCAATTATTGGCAGGATAAGAGTCCCGTTGCCGAGGGTCACTGTTTTCTTCGTCAGTAGCTGGAACCAAGTAAGACTGACGCGAGCGACCCTGAAAGACAATCCACGAATCTGGAAGCGGAGGCGACTCACTTGCGTAGGTTTCTTCACGCTTTACAGTGGGAGCTGCCGGCGGTGCAACGCCCGCCGAGCTCTTCCCAGAAACTGACCAAGGATTCTCGGGACTTGTAGATGTTTCCATAATGTGCGACTTGTTTCCTTCATTCGACTTCGCCAACCAAGACGCCTTGCGGACCTCGACGCCGCCGGCCGCGGTCCACCTGATAGTGTGAGATGGACTGTCCACCGTGATGGTGTACGATGTTGGCTCGTGTGAACTGAAGGAAGTGATGTTGAATGTGATCCTGTTCCCTTCTTGGTCCGTGGTTGACCTTGTCGGATCTCCCAAATTGGACGTGAAGTCGATGCCACTCGAAGCCTCGCCCTCGAAGGCGACGTTGCCGTTCTCGCCGCCATTGTTCATGACGATGCGCACCTTCTCGGGGTTGTCACCGCGGCTAAGCTGAACAGGCGCTGGATATGACATGTTGTGATATCTCGTGTTCTTCTCGGTAATACTTATATGTTGTGCGTGTGGCGTTGTCACGATAATTGTGTTGCTCGAGTCCGTCGGTATCGGCTGTATTTGATCGTATCGTATCCTCGAGTCTAATAGTGGTCGTTTTCTCTGCAGAGTCGACCACAATCTCCAAAACTTTTCTCAAACTGTAATTCCCTAGATACCCTTCTCGTCGAGGGAAATATCCCGTCACCTCACAAATTATCGAAATGAGACGAAGTGAAGCAAGAAGTGAACAAGATCCGAGAAACGAAGTAAGCAGGAATGGAGAAAGTGAAAGACCAGGCTGAGAGAGGTGGGAAAGCCAGAGAGAAGAAAGCCACCAAGGCGTGTGTGGGCGTGTAAGACGGGAGAAGGAATGAGACAAGTCGGTAGGACAGAGACAGACAGATCCGACGCACAGCAAACCTTGGGATGACCAGGATTAACGAGACGGGCGCCTTTTTTTTTTTCGTTGGTCAGGTCCCGGCCGGTTTGCTGCTGCTGACCGCGGGGGGGGGGGGGAAGAGTCAAGAAGAAGGGGCTTGGGCTTTTGCGCGCGCGCGTTACCGAGAGGAAAGCGTTGTTGGACGTCCGGCTTTGGTCTATTGTCAGGGTTCGCGAGCTTTCTTTCGCTTCTTCGCTTCGCTTCCTTCGCCTTTGCAGTCTGTTAGTCGTCTCCCGGTGCAGGTGCAGGTGCAGGGATTCGAGGGATGGATCTGCACCACGCCAACTACAGCAAGCCACGCGCCAAGGCAGCGCCGCCCAAAGAAATGAGGGAGGAAGGATCCGCGGCTGGTCGAAGGTCAGATTGACAATATGAATACCGTTCGTTGCCTGTCCGTTTTTTTATGGTTGACTTGCTTGCTGTGCTTGGATATTTGCAGTGAGGCGCTGTAGATTCCCTCGCGAGGCAGCTTTTGTTGCTGGTTGAGGCTGAGATTGGAGTGTTTGGTGTTAGCGAGAGACTGTGTACATAGTGCAGGTAAGTAGCAAAGACGAAGACGGCCATTAAGTGCAAGGGTTCTTTCCTCGTCTTCCAACACAGACCTCGTTGGAAAGAATATACGGAGTACTGTGATACGGAGTAAGTCTTGACAGTATCTTGGAAGGAGACGACTGATGCGTGCGTGCCTTCCAACCAGGTGGATCTGTCCAACAGACACCTCAAGTCCTCGACGCAGGGTTGGGAATCCCAAAGAACCCCCAAACGTCTCATTCATCTCTCACCTCCCTTCTCTCCCTTTGGAAGATCAGCCTACCTATCGGTATCGATTGGAAACCCCACCCACAATCCCAGGATCGGCACATTGTATTGGTGAGCTGTTACACTGCAGCAACAACAAGTGCTGAGTGCAATCATCAGTCTGCTCCGCCACCAACCTGTCTCGATGGTGACGGCCAAATCGGTGAGTGGTTTTACTCCCTTCTGTCTATACTCAACACGGTCATTGAAATCTCCCAGATTCGAGGTAATCAGTGCAAGAGAAGAGGACAGGAGACGAAAAGACGGAGAGAAAGAGAGAGAGAGGTCGTGCGTGGTAAGGCTGGAGAAAAGCGGGCCACGCTTCCAACGCTAAAGTTTGGGGAGCCACCCAAAACCCAGCCCCAGCCCCACCGGTCAGCAAATAAGCACCATCCAATGGAACGCGGCGCAGGCAACAGACCAGAGACCTCTACGAAGTACTCCGTAGCTGTTGGCTGTGTGCTGTTGCTATTAATTGAAACAAAAAAGAAGAGGCGCCGCCGCCGCCCCCCTGCAGACATGCGGGCAGACCAACAAGGTCTCTCATCCCACCACCCAAAGAGCGTGAGAGCCAACCCAAAGACGGACAGGACGGACAACCACCCTTACCGTTTGATGGAAACCCGCCAACCTAACGGTCTAGCGCTACCGTACGCTGCGCTGCTAGTGTCGCTGCAGCTGATGTGAGCTTTGCCCAACGCGCATTAGGCATTGGAAGCTCACCGGGGCGAAGCCCACCTCCAATCCTCGACACCAAATCCTTCTCCCGCGGCCGGGGTCCCCAATTCGCAGTCTCTTATTTACTCTGCCCCATGCCGTGGTCAGGCTCTCGTCACTCTCATACCAGCGGATGGTGACAGGGGACTACGTATGCCGTTGGACCTTTTCATTAAAAGAATGTAAGCTTCCTCTTCAGGCTTTTCGCTCCCCTCCCTATCCGTACCCTGACGGTCTGACTTCGATCCCCCCCGCACGGTCTTTTGTTGTTAAGAATCAAGCCCCGAGGCTTACTTGAGATGCTGTTCGCTGGTCAAGATCCATCCCATTTCAAAACGAGAAATGTCATCCGGTTTCGAGAGCACGCTTCGTCTATAACGAAAGTTCGTGAGCAACACCCCAACTCTCCTCTCCTCTCCATGCCATCCCATGTCCCAAAAGTTCAATTCCCCAAGGCTTCCTTCCCCCCCACCCGCTACGTCGCATTACCCACACAATCTTCTCTGCTGCCTGCCGATCCAACCACACCTCACCAACCCAGGCCCTGCGGCCTGCCTAACAGCTTAACGAGTCCCCCCATGCAACCCTGTCTGTCCTCGAAGCTCCCACAGCTCCACCCCCGTGCGTGCGCGTATGCCAGCGGCGCATGTAGGTAAGCCAACATCCAACGACGACGAAACATGCCCACACAAAAAAACCCCAAGTTCCAACGGGCGCGTCGTGAGGAAAGACTAAATTTTTTTTTTTGATATCCCACTTCCCGAGCGAGCGTCTCGCCTGGCCGAGGTTGTTTTTTTTTGCACATTGTTGGTTTCGTCGGCGCTTTGTTTGCGTATGAGTGCCCTTGTATTGGGAACGAGCCGGGGCGCGTGAGACGATGAGATAATTACCACGGATACTTTGATTGGGAATACCATAAGGGGGAAGAGTCCAGATGCGCATGGGTAGCCTGTTGGTCGATAGCCCAAAGTCTCTGTGATTTTCGTCACTTCTGTATTCCGTATCCGTCACTCTGACGCCCGTTTCCCCTGCAGCATGCACAGCACCTGTCAACAGACCCCATGTGATACAGATGTATACATAGATTGCCATGAGAAACCATCCAGAGAGACCGATCCAACAGTCCAACAAAGAACAGTATGTATGATTCGCAAGACTTCCGGATACAGTACGGCCCATCTTCCACTTCCGGAAGACGGAAGACGTTTCCACGATCCCCTCCCCCCCCCCCCCCCCTGCTTCAATCTCACAGCTGGAGGCCAAACATCTAGATATCACTTGCCCTTTTTCTTGTTTCCCAAGCATCAACATCAATCACGTAAACCAGAAAAGCACGACTTGAAATTCAAAAAGAGATTGTAACTTTCCTCTCTTTGTCTGTATTACTTTGCAACCGTCCTCGCAGACGGTGAAAATTATATACGCGAACGGTCTACAGGGGCTTTGTAGTAGTTGTAAAACAAACCCCTTCCAAAAACGCTACCCAAGAAAACCCATCAAGCATCATCCCCTGCCCCAGTCGTGTAACAAAACACAGGGTGATTAGTTGTCATGTGAGCTGTAACCACGGCTTTGTCAAGGGGACCACCCAAATCTGGGAACAGCAAACCTCTTGCTCAAGCAGGGAGGGTGAGGGGGATCGTACGGACCACGTCCGCGATTCGCTTTCAAAAAGATTAATCATATGCCACCAAAAGCCATGCCCAAGGCTTTCCATTCATCTGGATTTCGGCCGAACATTATGCAAAAGTCATCTCAATCTCCTTCTCTTTGCCAAAATCATCATCGTCATTAACGTCCGCCCAGGGGTTTGACGCCCCCATATTAGGCACCGTCTGCGCCGACTTCATCTCCGGCCGTGACGGCGGGGGCGGGGGCGGGGGAGGAGAAGAAACAGCATCATCTTTCGGCGGCGGGCGCGGCGCGGGCGGCGGATCGTGAAAGGAAGTGTCAAACGTCATCTCCACCTCCTCCTCGAGCGGGGACGGCGCCGCGTGGTACGGCGACACGGACCTCTGTGTGGGTGGGAACGTCTGGCTTCCCTGGAACGTCGGCGTCCTCTCGGGCGTGTACGAGTAGGAGCCCGTCGTCTCGTACGAGGCCCGACCCGGCACCGCGTACGCGCTCTTAGTCTCGCGCAGGCTGTCTCGCGGGTTGAGCGATCCGTTTGACGAGCTGAGGTCGAGTCTCATGGGGGGGAGAGTAGACTTGAGCTCCTTTACTTGGAACTCTTCGGGCTCCTCCTGCGTCGTTGCGGTCTTTGCGACTTCGGCTCGGATGGCCTCCACGTCAAACAGTACACCGTGGTTGTTGCCCTCCTTGTCTTCCGTCCTCGGGTTTGGCTTATTTCCATCTTTCGCTGAATCTTCGTAAATTTCCCACTTTTCCTTGTCTGCCTTCTTTCCCCGTCCAAAGATGGAAAACCGGCTCTTCTTCTTCTGTCCCTCCCTCTCGAGCTCCTTGCGAGCCTCCTCAATCTCGTTGATGAGTTCTCGCTGACGCTCCTGGTGGTTATCGGGATCGGCGTCTTCGATTTCGGTGAATTCGTCGCTCTCCACGAGCCATCCGCACTCTCGGAGGAGACGCGGCATAGCCTTACGGTACTCCATGTGACCCTTGACAAACTCTGTGACATCAAAGTTCTCGATCCATGGTAGATCCTCAATGGGGGCCAGACCAGCCACCTTGCGAGGGCCACCGCCAGTCAGACGGAATAGGTAGGCGAGGATCCAGTCGTTGCTGCTGTATCCATTGACGAACCTTCCTGGAACAACAGTGCGGGCTCTGAGGTATTCGTCCTTCTTGATGATCAAGGGGGAGCCGAACAGATATACGTTCTGAACCAGACCATACGCCCCCTTTCTCGCCAGCTCCAAGAGGCAGGAGAAAATGACTCGTGAACCAAGTGAATATCCAACAAGTGTGATTGGCCGTGTTCCCAGGTTTCTGTCGATTAAAGAGTCCGCCAGAATGAGACCTGCAGACCAGGCTCTGTCTTGTGATACACTCCAAGGGTTATCAATCAGGTACGCCAGCTTCGTCAAGACGACGGGTAATGATAGGGCAGCCATTAAACTGGTCAAGATTGTGCTTGCCAGAACTTGTTGCAGACCTTGCGTCAGGGCCTAGGAAGCGTTAGTCAAAACCGGAAAAAGGAAAGGGGTAAAAAGGAGCTGCGACAAACCTCCGTAGCGAGGATGTTGATGGTGTCACCCATACTCCTCAACATCTCCGGTTCCCAGTAGACGGAGTACAAGTCGCCCATGATGGGATCCACGGTGCTGAATGGCAAACGGACGTCGTCCACCTTACCCGTCATCCATCCGGCCACCGTAACGACGAGATGCACTCGCTTGTTGTTGTGCAGCGGCCGATACTCGAACGTCTTGACGGCTCCCGTCCTCCTGTTTGCCGCTCGGCCACCGATGACGCTACCGGATGCCGCGGCACTGGACGTAATGATGGCAGCTCCGCCGACTCCACCGAGGAAGGTAGAAGTACCCGTCACTCCAATCGTCGTGAAGCCAGCAGCCAATCCAGCACCAATGACGGGAGCGAGGAGACCCGCTGAGAGGCCAATGACCAGACCACCGCCCACGGTAGCCAACCCCATCATCATGTAGCGCTTCTTGAGAGCTTGTTTCCTTCGGTGCTCCATATGCTCGTCCTCATTCCAGTTCTCCTGCTCTGCGGCCTGCTGCATCTCCAATGCGTCCGTCACCTTCTTTTCAAACTTTCTGACATCCAGCCAGTCGATTTGAAGACTTTTACCGACCCGTTCCAAGAGAATTCTTGATCTGCAATCGTACACCGAATCGGCAATCAAAAGAAGGAACAAGTCGCAGAGCACCGTCCAACGCAGGTCAATGTCGATTTTGTCAGAAGTGACCATTTGAGCCGGGGTCTTGACTGGGGGCAGCTCCTCTCCTTCGTGCGCTTCGTATGGCGGTGGCGCCTCGTCTCCTTTCTCATTCTGGGACAGTGCGGGTGAAGGGGGGCCCATACTCCTCGGCGAGGTAACGGAAAGCGAGCTACGGGATTCCCTCGGCGATGTGACGGAGAGAGAGCTGCGCGTTTCGTCTTCGTCCTCGGCCATGGGATTCTTGACACGGGCGTTGGCCATCAATATCGGAGTCAAGTCCGATGGCACCACGCCGTGGTCGCTGAGTTGTTCAACCATGATCTGCTCGGCGGAGCTGATGTCCATGTGTGCGTAGAGACGGATCATCATCTTCTGACCCCACATCTTGGTTGCTTCGGCCGACATTGTGACTTCCTTCTTTGCGCTCCTTGCGTGTTCGACGCTCTCGGCCTCCTTGACCATGTTGTGAACCTCCAGTCTCGTCAACCCCACGTAGGCGATCCTCTGCCCTTCCGTCAGCAGGTCCTTGGTCGCCTGCATCTGAGAGACGGCATCGCGGGCTTCGCTGTCGTCTTCGCCGATGCTCGTGCCATTCACTTCTTTGAAGAGGTATTGGGTATTGTCGTCCATGCTCGTTGCTGATTCGGCGTCATCGTCCATAATTACGCGGGTATATCCCTTTCCTGCACCGCCGAGGCCACCGTAGCCGTAGGTTTCGTCAACTTCATCCTCCTTGAACTCCTTTGCGACAAGTCTATTGTCATCGTCATAAATATCGTACGGGGCGAATGCGGGCATCGTTTGCCAGTCGCCGTCACCATTGTCATCGTCCTCCTTTTTGTCTGACGTCAGTTGTTGATGAGAGAATTCCGAGACGCCAACATTGCTGGCATTGCTCTGGTCCCTCTTGTGCTGCGCTTTAGGAGAAGTAGGCTCTGCCACCCTGGGCCCGGGCTCGTCTGCCTTGTCGACGAGCTTTACAGGTGATCCTGGCTGCTGCGGCTCGGGATCGCTGGGCTTGGTTTCTGCTGTTGTCCTTTGTGACTCTTTTGATTCGACGCGACCAGTTTCGCCGTTTGTTGTAACGCCCTCGTCTTTGCTCTCGTTCTTGGTGGTTGTTGAAGCTTCTATTGTTGATGGCTTCTCCGTACTGGTCTTGGCGGCGACCACCTCTTTGGCCTGGACCTTGGGCTCTTGCTCGACTTCCTTAACTGCTGTAACATCCCGATCGTTGGCCTTTTCTTCATCCGTCCCAGTTGTCACAATCTTGTCCTTAGCCTCGTCTTTGTCCAGATTTGAAGTTACAGGGGTTGATGGTGTATTCGAGGTCGTCCCGGAGACAGCGGCCGTGGCCGGCTGCTCGGATTGAGCGTCTTTGAATTCGTCATCGTCACTTTCCGACTCGCCGTCTTTGCCGTTCACTTCCTTCTTCGCCGCCGAAGGAGCTGTCTCGTTGCTTCCGTCTGCATTCGGCCCATCGTGGACTGGCTTCGGTTGGGACTTGTTCGGTTGGGATTGAGCGTCGGTCGTCTGATCGGTCTCCTCGGGCGGCGGTGACACGTATCGTCTGATGGGTAGGCCGAAGTCGTCCACCTCGGGCATGTCGCTCGTCATGGCCGCAGCAGAAGTTTGCTTTTGCGTAGGTGCTGGTGCAGTTGCATCTGGTGCACGAGTGCCATTCGGTAGCTGGTCAGCTGCCTCCGAATCGGCAGTGGGAGCCGCGGCGGCGGTGGCTGTTGTCGATGAGGGGTTGTTGGTGGTGGTGGTGGTGGTTGTGGTGGCAGACTCGTCTGAGCCCGCCATGATGAGATGCTCTTGTGTTGCCTCTTACACAAGCATGCGAGCTGTCTCAATGTGCCAGAGAAGATTCAGGTAGAAAGCCAAGGCAAGGGGTGGCAGCCTTTTTCTTTTCTTTTCTGTTTCGGGTATTGGAAAACGAATGGGTCGCGGGCTTATGCCGGTTGGAGAAGGTATTCGTAGGACGACGCGCAATACGTCAAGGCAGTGGAACGAAAGCGAACTAAAAGACTCCGTAAAGTGGCTGAGATTAGAATTACTGTGGGATGTTTTCCAGACGTGCCGAACGCGCAGTTTCCGTAAAGTGTTCAGATGTGCTAACTTTTGAGTATTCGAGCCACGCGCACATCCAACTGGAAGCCAAATTGATGGACCAGGGGAGGAAAAGACTCGAAGGGGCGTCCACGTGTTTTTCTTGTGTCTGAGTCTGACGGGGGGTATTCTTTCACGAAGGGGGCCCGCGGGCTTGAAAGGGATGATGGAGAAAGTCGTTGGCGAATTTGATGGTTGACTTAGGGAGTAGTTTGGTTAATTATCAGGGGATAGTCAGCCAAACATCAAATGCCCTCCTCCCCCCCCCCCCACGTGCCCCCCTCCGGCCCCCCAATGACGATCCGCTAGAGTGCCGCGAGTGCCATTTCCTGTGGGGACCTGGACCGAATAAGCCATGCGAATTGGAGAATATCAGTGCCCGTAAGGTGGTCACTGAAGGACTGTGCTCGCTGGCTGTCAGCCACCTCCAGGTCAGATCGAGAGAGCACATTGGCACACCGCCCAACACACCACGACAGTGACCGTTTCAGCGGTCGAGAGCTCTGACCTCTGACCAGCCCTGCCGCCCCACCAAAAGATATCACGCTGGACTCCTTGGAGAAAACTGACGACATTGGGAGGCCTGTGAATCATGGGGTGCCCCGGTTGCTAATTGAATCGCCATTAAGCTGTCATGAATACCTTCTGCGTAAGTTGTCGGCTTGTTGTCGCATCACCTCAGGTGGGCTATTCCCCGGGAGGGAACATGACGGAACCCCTATTCCGCAGAAACCAAGAACTTCAAGCGTGATCCTCATCATCCCACAGTAGATCAAGGGGCCAATCTTGAGGTGCCGGCAATTCCAAGACCATAAGTTCATGAGACGGTTCAGAAACACATTTCCTCGACGAGCCTCCCCGTATCTCGCTATAGCAAGAATTTCCCATGAATTTGGTATCTCAGAGCTTTTGTTGTACCTTACATTCCAATCATTTTAGTCCCCACCCAAACGCCCTTTTGGTATGCAATATCGAATCCCTACGAGCTTTCCGCCGCTTGCTCAGTCGACACCTCGCCCTGTGCCTGGTTTGCCGGCCCGCTCGTCGAGTCCGCATCGCCAGCAGCCTGGCCCTTGCCTCGTCTTCTACGCTTCTTCTTCGCCGGGCCTTCTCCCTCTCCCTCGTCTCCATCAGCCGCCGCACCCCGCGCTTCCTTCGCTACCTTTGGTGCCGCGTCGCCGTTCGTGGTCTTCTTCGCCTTCTTGACCGCCAACGGGTTCGGTCCCTTGCGTCCCCTCTTCTTATCCTTCTTCTGCTGTTCCTGGCCTCCGGCTTTCCCAGCAGCTCCGCCCTCCTTCCCACTCTCCTCCTCGTCGTCCTCGTCCTCGCGCTTCCTCTTCCTCTCGGGCCTGACGAGGCCGTCGCGGAACTTGCTCTTCTCCTCCTTGGTCCTGATCGCCACGCTCTCCGTCGCCATGGGCTCGAGGATCATGACCGATCGCTTAATGTAGATTTGCGGGACGCCGGGGATCTCGCGGAGCATGCGGCGCACGTCGCCCGACTGGCTCGCGACGCAGTAGCGGTGCTTGTTGACGAGGTTGCTCTTGGGGTCGACGACGGCCTTCATGCACTCCATCGTGCTCAGGGGTTCCGGGTAGTCCTCCGGCAAGTGACCGCAGCGTCTTCGCTCGAGCGTCTTTGCAAAGTCGATGATCTTGTTCATGTCGGGCTCGTTCTTGCGTAGGTACAGCTTGCGGATCTCGCATTGTGTAATCACTATTGTGAGAAAATCGTCAGCCTCGAGGCACTCCTCCTGATGGTTAATCATGGCATGCAAGACTCACTTGGCTTGACCTTGCCGTGCAGTGTGCGCTCCAGTCCGGCGAGCAGGTCGTATCTGAAGTTGTGACAGTCGACCACCATTTCAGCGTCGACTAGGCATTGGTACGGTTCGCGGAATCCCCATGTCAATTGGTATTGGTTCATCAGCTTGCGATACTGTTTGCTACGTTTTCCGCGCATCGTGGATTTTTGAGTGGCGAGGGGATACCCTTGCCGTCGAACGAGAGGTTGTTGATCTGGTTAACGCAGAAAGATTGGTGGTGGAGGCAGATGTCTGTGTTGAAAGTCGCGAAATTTCTTGCTGGAAAAATTGCGATAAGATAAGAGGTCGGGCCCATGAAGGCCGATCTAACCCCACCACGTCCGGCCACGGCCGTGGGCAACGTCACTCGAGGAAAGACATTATTGATTTTCAGTGACAACGAACATTGCAAAATTTTTCCCCCATGTATTCACGGAACTCGGGTAACGTATTCGTTCAATTATCTGCAGACTTCGCACTATCCATGGGTCCCTGTAAAATTCAAACCGAAGCCAATCAAACGCCAAGTGCCTCCCAAAAGATGGCCTCTGTCATCCCGACTTGGATAGGGGGTATGCCATAATACTAATTGCAGCCTGCCCCTGCGGGATCTTTTCCGTAAATTCCATTTCCGATGATTGCCGTGTTTCGTGGTATCGCCCTCCATATCATGCATCCTGATTCCTCACGAGCGCAGCGACGACGCTAATGTCATCAAGTTTGCCTGTTTCCTCGTTAGCCCCAGTGAACATCACGGCCTGGCAAAGCCAACAAACTCACCTCCAACGCTCGGCAGCCCTTCCTCAATGGCATGCTCCATAAAGGGGCTTTCCGCGAATGGATCCGTCGCAATCTTCTTCGCGGCTGCGACCAACTCCTCGGCAGCGAGCTTCATGCCTCCATTCGCGCCGCCCGTCCGGTCGCCCTCGACTCTGTCGCCCCCGCATTCCCCATTCTCCCAGCGTTCTATGCTCTTCTGAATGCTGTCGACGATCTCATGCTCCCACAAGTTGTCAATGACACCGTCCGACATGGCGAGAACCACATCCCCGACTTGTATCTCCACAACGTCCAAGACTGCTTCCGTGTTGGGGGTGTCGGGGCTATTCGTGCCCAACTGGCGCGGACAGTCGAACCAATGCCACTGCTCCTTGGTCTTGTAGACAACCTTTTCGTGCCTGGGCCGGAGAATCATAACTTGACAGTCGCCGAGATTGGTGACATAGACCTGGGGGACCTTCTCGCTGCCTTGTAGAGTCTTGTAGTGCAGCAGCGCTCCGCTCGCCGTCGTGGTGCCTTGCCAGTCGTTCGGGTCCGAAGTCGCTTTCAGGGTCTGCTCATACGCCGTCTGGAGATATGCTACCGGGTCGGGCTTATAGACATCTCCCTCGGAGCGAGGGTTGGTGACATCTTTCTGAATAGCCGTTGCCCAATAATGAAGAATCAAGCGAGACCAAAGGCTGTTTTTTTTTTAAATTTTTCTCAAAGTCAACATTGGGACGTCCGATCAACGGGGGGGAAAGAAAAGCACCTACCCAGCGTGACCCCTCGGGCGTGTTGACCAAGCGCCGACGCCATCATTCGCACAAATGAAGTTCTCGCTGGCGAATACCGCATCGTCTCCGTTCGTCTGTCCGAGGATGATTTGTCCGTCAACTCTGGCGCGCCGATCGCGGCTTCGGTGATGGGTGCTGAGCGGATCGGAGAAGGAGCCCGACGGAGGGGAGAGGAAGGGCGGCGGGAAAGGTCGCGGCGCCCGCTTGGCGAAGAGGGAGATGCCGGTCTCGAAGCGAAAGGGTTGTTGCGTTTGCGGCGGTGTCTGCTCGGAAGAATCTGCTTGCGACGGCGGCGTCGTTGTCGATGTTGTCGTCGCTGTCGCCGTCGAAAGGCAGGCGGTCGTACTAGGTCGGAATCGCAGCGGCCATGATGCTGATGATGCGCCCTGAGGCACTCTCGGCGGCCGCGCTTTGAAGGGGGAAGTCGCCAACAAGGGCCCAGGTAACCTCCTCATTCCCACTTGTGAGAGGCAGATCAGGCGCCTTTTGCGATGTTGGATCGCAACGAGACGAAATCGCTGGGCCTGGTGCCGTTATCTTTTGGCGCTGGAAGGGTGCCGCTGGAGTGCTGGGCATGGCCGGGGAGGTGGGGGGGGGGGGGGGTGGCCAGGTGGGCTTCGATGTGTTGGTTGGGGGCTCTCCGAACCGGAGGTTAAATTGGGGCTACACGTGCAGGCGCGTTTGGTCCCAGGTCGGCGCATTGGGCACTGGGCTGCAGAGTCGTAGCTGGGAGCTTCAGACTCCCAGAGGGCTGGGACGCTGGCACTGGGTGCGTGCAAAACTCAAGACTTAGGTAAGCACAGTCAAAACACCCCCCACCTCTCTTTTTTATCACCCAAAGCCCAACAATTAAGTCAACATTCTATATGCTAACACGGCTAAGTATTAGGGGCGTTTGTTGGGCCACAGAAGTGAGGTTGTCACAACTAGGAGCTTCCCTGTCCCACATTGACCGCATTTTGAAGAAAAAAATCCCTTCACTGGCATCACCCTTCACAGCCCAAGAAAACAAGCAGCAAAGAGACAAACAAACTGAAAATTCTGTCCGAAAACTCTTAAAGGGACTGCAGCGTGGCGGGCTTCTGATGGGGCCGATAAGTGGCAATCGATGCAACTGCAGAAATTGTTCCATGTAAAACCGAGCACGCCGATATTAGCACATCATCAAAAAATTTTTAACCGTTTCGCATCTTAATCATTAACATGACAACATCCCCTCCCCTTTACCTCATAACACACACACGCTCTCTCTCTTATCCCCATCGGCATTTCCGGCCAAGGTAGAGAGGAACACGATGCAGATCCAGTCCCCTGAAGAGGCGAACTTCCGTCTCTGTACGGATGGGAAAACCTGGAAACAGGCTCTGAGGCTCATGTCATCAACAGATCGACATTCGGGATCGACAACAGCTGGGCCCGGTTGAGGTGGCCGCCTCTCAGCTGCAGCCTCTGCGGGTGTAACATAGCTAAAATAAACACCATGGCTGGGTGGCCTGGAACTGGCTGGAAGCACGGTATTGGAGCAATTGGCGTCACACTCAAAAAGCCCGTTGCTGCAATCTATTGAACATGGCGAAGGAGCAGCCCGCATACTGGATTGGAGTATTCATACCTGGTAGGCATCTGACGTTGTATCAGGGCAACAGCAGCAGGTTGATCGCCCGTAATATATACGAGTAAAGTAAGCACGCAGGTTGTGCAGGCTTTAAAAACTTTGATTCTAGAAGTTTGCAATCATTGCCGATCTTTTCTAACAATAACCTCCCGAACCACACAAACGTCAAGGAAACACGCAAAACTTACTGTTCGGATTGCCGGCTTCTGACGAACCGTTTGGTCTCTTGTCAGCCTATGCTCTCAAGTCATCGTCTCCCTGAAGTCCCTACCCTGTCTTAGACAGAAGAGAATGGTTCCTGACGCCCGAGACATTCAATCGCTATCCGTGTCTACAGATGCCATTGACTTTCATTTGCCATGTCTCGCCCTTGCAAGATATCTGTCCATGCATCCAGAGTCCAGACCAGCCTTTCCCATTATCAACGGGTGCTTTCCCTACTCAGCGCGGTCTGTGAACTCGTAGGTCGGTAGGGATGGCCAGAGCCCTCCCCCCCCCCCCCCCCCCCCCCCGTTCACCGTTCACCGTTCACCGGACATGACGTAACGGGGCTGACGCAAAGTATTGACCAACAGCCTACGCATACAGGTGGCTCACTCAGCATCGATTGGGGGCCGGGACATTGAAGTTTGATGAGCATACGTTGTCATTGGAGACCAAGCCTCTGTTTGCTTCAGGCCTTCAACACCTCTCTCTCATCGTGTTGTCACTGCCCACGGTCGATCAACGCGCGTCGAGGAAGGATCTGCCCGAGCCGCCAACGAACCCGCCCCGTAGGCCGGGATTTGTATCATTTGGCGCCAAAGTAGGTATCCGTGAAGGCCGGCCGACCTCGACTCTTACGTCAGCGCAGTTCTCTGCTGCCAGCCTGTTGTTGTATCCGTACCGTTCACCATTGAACTGTTACTGTTAGAGCTCAGGGCTAGACTCGATAGTCGATAGGTGACTGAGCCCTGGACGTTTGCATTGCCTTATTAGCTCATCGACACTGAGCACCCTAGGTGGAGGCTGGGAATTTCGTATCCCGCCGTATTTGCTTCGTTTCGAGCTTCGGTCTCCGACATGATTGGGCCATAGAACCTGGGACCTCTTGAGCAGGGCGGAGTTTGTGAACGGTAAGCGCTTTCATGGCATGGAGGAGCAGCCCGGGAAAAAAATATCCTCAGCTATTCGATTCGTTCTCGCAATTGACAGCCAGTCGCTGTTTGCCAAGGGTCCCATTAGATGACACTCGCCTCCGTCGGGCTTTACCTATGTTTTACCAATACACCACCATGGCTTATCTCTGGAAATCTGTGCGGATTCCGAGTTCGCCTTGCCGCCCTTCAGCGGAGGGGTCGTGAAAAGTGACTGCTCGGGGTGGGACACCAACCCTTGCCCCGGCCGCATGGCAATGGAGCTTCGAAGAGGGGGGCAGAATATTGACGCATGCGGGACACAGGGGCCCTCGTATGGACCCTTCAGTTCACTTTCAATGTCCGCGTTTTCGGAATACTTGCGTGAGACTTGAGCTTTGCTACAGCGGTAAGCAAGCGGGCAGCGCGGCGGAGGAGACATCAGAGAGCGGCGACGACGACAACAACAACATCAACGGGGGTTTTTAAGAGAGCCACTTCGTCCGATATCATTCGTGCCTGACTTTATGCTTTGGATTCGTACTGATGATGCACAGAGCAGTACGACATCCTTGCGTTTGGCTTGTAGGAACCTACTACCAATGACGGGGAGCGAACGCCCGGTCTGGTGGTTTCACATCGGACACAATTCTGACGGCAGATCTCACCGGAAGGCAGTGTAAACGGCGGCAGCAAACCCTCCACCAACGAACGGTCGCTGACTGTTCGTACTGGTACTCTGGAAGTCTGTATCTTTACCCATACGATTAGAGAAGGCCACGGCCGGCGTCAACGGCCCCTCTTCGACCCTTGGGACCCCCTCATCTACGGAGTACACGTATGGATACTGATGCCCCAGCTCTTTGGAGTACTCGACCCGCCTGGGAGGACCCTGTTTGTCCCCTTTGGCGCCAGCGACTCAATGAGGCAGGCGCATCAAAGTCGGCGAAATCATGCCATGCTGTACAACTATGCCCCGGAAATACGTGTTCGAGGGTTGGCAAGCGGGTTCGCTGCGTCTTCGCTCCGAGATTGAATAGGGTCCTTACCGTCCCTGAGTCCCTGCGATCTTGGACACGGCTTATTAGTCGATACTCGGTATTCGGACGGATACTCCATACTGACTGACCCTGAGCCGGGGTTCCTGAACAATCACGGAAGAGGTGGCAGAAAAGCCCAGGAGCCAAGTCGGCAATGGAGTTCCTTTCATGCTTTCTTCCTCTTAAATTACAGCTATGTTGTCTACCTAATTGAGGAACACCCAGTATTGACTATGTTTTGGTAGTCGGACGCGGATCCCTGAAAAGTGCGGTCCACTCAAGGTTACAAATGTCCAGGAGGCCGGGTTGAAGTGTCTTGTAGCTGTATTTAACAGCTTACCTTGACTCAGGATCTTGGACAAAATGGCACTATGATGCTAGAAGTCATCCATAGCCAGGGACTGTAGCCATAGGAAAAGATACGTAGCATGGTTATCTGTATCAACCTAAGCAACAAACAATTCAGGGGAGGAGGAACTTTGTTGGATAAGGTGCCTGAAGAACCTTACCACACGTGGTTCATCGGGCCGGGGAAAGACGTTGCAGCGTTGGAACACCATTAGATTCCCTTCGGTAGCCAAACGAGCATAGAGAGAAGCCAAACTTCCTCTCAAGAGCTGAAACCAAATTCCCGTCCGACCCTAGAAGAACGAGTATGACCTTAATAAGACGACAACATGTCCCTCGATGGAAGTGGGGTCGTATCATGAATCAAGTCCGGTATTGCGACTGGATGGCCAGGACGAATCGCCAAGCCAACAAGGGTTGGTTCACTCTCCCTCTCGCAACACGGGCGACTGTTTGGAACATGTCCGTCTCCCTAGCTCGTGTACATACAGTACTTAGTACGTACTGCATTCATAATCTCACTACCATCGACGTTGTCTTGAACAATCAGATTCACTTTCGAGAAAGCGTACGCGGCGGGCGAGGCAGGCCGCCGGGCAGAGAGATATCAAATCTCAACGGGAACTCGCAAGGGACGAACAAGAACCGAGACCGAAGCGGACATTACTCTCGCAGTGACGGCCGACCGGAGGGTTCGTGAATAGCGACGGCGGCGGGCGGGCATCTGACAACTCAACCGGGGGTCAAACGACGCTGTCTTTCTCTCTTTCCCTCTCTCTCTCTCTCTCTCTCTCTCTCTCTCTCTCTCTCTCTCTCTCTCTCTCTCTCTCTCTTGCAAATGTGACATCCGAGACCCCGATCGCTGGCTGCGGGCACCGCATGACTTGCGATCCTCCGTCCGAAAGAGAATAGCCTACTGGATCATACTGGCCACTTCTCCAACCACTTGAGTTTTTTTTTTTTTTGCACAGCCACGCGGGACTCAAGACAAGTGCGGTAAAGCGACCAGAAACTCCTTGATTAGACTAGCTGCGTCTCTACAGTTTGTCACTCTGTCTCTTAGGCTCTCGGGATGCACGGAGTTTCTGGGCCTAGATGCCCGGCCCAGCCCAGCGGCAAGCAAGTAAGCAGAAGCAGAAAGCAGAAAGCAGCAAGCAATTTTGGGTGGTTTCCCGACAACGAGCTCTCAGCAACGATTTGCACCGAACACATACCTTCAGAATAGAGACAACCTAAGTGAAGAAATCAGTGAGCAGAAAGAACCCTCAAGGGCCCAAACTTGGGGAGCTCTGTCCGTTCGGTTCATCCCCCCCCCGCCCTTTTGGCCCCCAAAACCTTACCCAGCCTCTTTTTCCAAAACCTGAAGCCCTCCACGTTCTGGAACAAGACGTCAGGTGGTGCCTTAATCCGTCCCAAGTCAAGTACCTAGCCCACCAAGCCC